AACTTGTTAAAATTAGTAAGACATGATAATATTATCCGTGACTAAGTCCGTGTTATTTATTAAATTTCACTAAATGAACTTCAAATAATTCACAATAACAATTCACAAAAACTAAGTAATGTTTTCATCAAAACTTAACCCATTACAAATCCTAATTTAGGCATTAACATTAGTTGCTAATAATAAAATCTAATAATTTGAACATATATATATATATATAAAGAGATCAAATACAAACCATGTTTAATTTACAAAGTACAAACTTATCTTGGTCATCCGATGAGTTGATCTAAAGGATATAAAGGCAAGGTGGCATTTTTGTAATAAAACTTAACTTTTCTAGGGTGCAACTCGTTGAACGTTAATGTGCAACTGCTATTTTATGACTATATAATATGCAACACTTTGAACATTAATATGCAATGCAAATAACGTCAAGGTGCATCGTACAAACATTTGCACAATAAGCAGAATTTGTACTTGATCTTTCCCCTATATATATATATATACCCATTTGAATTAACTAATACTTAAATTTAACTAATATTATTAAAAAATTAAGTAATTTAACACTACATTTAAATTAATCCTACGTTTAACTAGTTTTAACTAATTCAATTCGTTAATTAATTACTAACCTTTTTTCTACAGATTACAATTAACTAGTATTTAAATTTAACTGATATTATCAAAAGCTACACTAACTTAACTAATTAATTTAACTTAATTATTTAAAACCTACGTTTAGCTAACTAATTTTACTTAATTTAACTTAATGCATCACTACGTTTAAAACTACGCTTAGCTAACCAATTTTAAATTGAATCAACTAATTCTAAATAAAAAGAATTCAAATAACATACCTTATTATCTGCATAAACAGGGAAAATGACATAAGATGGACTACATCCTTCGATCTTTCAAATAGATACTGTATTATATATACATGGAATGAATTGGTGTGGTTCAGTTATATAAAAAACCTAGTCACGGACCTAGTCAAGGAATTTTCCGTGACTAAATTTTGAGAAATTAATTTTGAGCGCTGGAAATTTAATTTTTTTTAGTCACAAACGTAGTCACGGATAAGTCCGTGACTAAGTCACCGGAATAAAAACGGACATACCGGCGACGGAGTTGGGGCAACCGGAGGACTTTAGTCACGGTTCGTAGTCACGGATTTATGTAGTCACGGACTTAGTCACGGCCAAATCCGTGACTAATTTTTTTTCAAAAATCCGTGACTAGTCCGTGACTAGCCCGTGACTAGGCTAGTCACGGACGAAATCCGTGACTAACGTCCGTGACTAAAGACGTGTTTTTTTGTAGTGAATACTACGTATTGCTTTTCTGATGGAAGACTTTGTACAAAAATTTGCCAACTATTTTTCTGCGTACAACAAAAGAATGTTTTCCTGGTTACGTTGTCACTTAGATTGATGTATACTCTCCAAACATCAGGATGTACAATCTCTAATACTCCGTAGGAAATGACTCACCCTTCACCTAGACCATAGATTCTTTTAGAGTCAATAGTTATGCCAGCAAGCTCGGTGTATTCTTAGCGCTCAGTTGCTCATTTGTTTATGTGCTTGTACTACTACACACATAAAATGGTCATTGATTATACTTATTACAAGTAAACGGGCAAATATGCAGTTACTCAAAAAAATAAAATATTAAAAGGTCCAAAAAAAGAGTGCCTCAAATATGTCATATAACCAATATAGAACCTATTTAGATTAAAAGAGAGGAGCTGAGGTTGTGGCGATATATGACCTATAACACTCGTCCTCTTTTCATTTGGGTCTTATTAACAATATACGAAGTGTGACTCAGTTGTTTATTGATTTTTTGGTTTTCTACTACTTATAGACTTCGCATCAGAACTTCATGTGTGTTATTTTCTTCCTAACAGGCCATGTATGATGTATATAAGTCAAGGCCATAGGGAAAAATACAGTTTCACACTCATAAATGAAAATTGTGCTAAAACTTAAATTTGTTTCATGGCTTTCAACTAAATACTCATTATATTGGAATAAGTAATTAAAAAGTTTTAGTGCATGACTTGTACAAATCTCAAGTAATGAGATCTTTTTTGTGAACCTAATAATAAGAAAAAACAGAAACAATTGTAAGTATTAGAATGCAAAAATGCTAAAATTGTACTTCTTGAGATAGAACTAAACACACCTGAACATCTCCTACCCTTAACATTTTAAGAGATCCAGACTACACCCTTAAGGAGTTCCTTAATAACATAAGTGAGCTACTACTTTTTTAGGGGAGGGGTTAAAACTGGCGCAATGACTCTTTAAGTATCTGACCATAAACCAGAAATTGTGTAGTCCATATGTAGTGTCAAAGACACATTTAATGTGTCTATGAGACAATACCATGAAAGGTAACACAATAAAAAGCACATGTACTTATATATATGGCCTGGCACCAAAGCTAATTCAAGAACAATATGAAAAGTGTCAAAATTGGCATACTGTCGTTCAATGAGCCCAATGAGCTCTTGAAGCTACACCAATTAGCAGTCAACACTAATGCAGTGAGGGACATATCAAAGTATTAGCCTGATCCTTCACCTAGTCTCATGTCCCATGAATGTGTGCTGGAAAAAGTTTACTTTTAATACACAGACATGCACAAATATGTGATTTTTTATACGAATCTAGGAAAGCTCGAAATCAAAGCATACATTGCACATTCATGCATATCAATCGTGATTAACTTACTTGTTGTGTTAACTGATATGGAAATTCATGTAAAAAAGAAAGGGAATAATAATATACAGACAATTGCTAGGTATGGGAGGATATAATGAAAATCCGCATCATATAGGAGTGAAGTAGTTTGAAACACACAGAGATCGAGAATTTTCTTTCAACAATTTAGAAACACAAGGAAACGTTTGAACTTCTTGCCGCTCTTGATTCTACAGTCACTTTGTAGATGCAAATGACGAAGGATTAGCACCTGCAAATGATGGGAGTTGGTGACCGCTCTTGATACATTGAATGAAAATTTAAATGTAATTATTATCGATATAAAGGAAAAGAACGATATACTCGTTCCAGACAACTGAACATGCTTAGTTAGAACCCTAACCTCTGTGACTCTGTGAGAAAACCATATTCTATCGTAGCATCAAACGGGGTGGTCACACTCAAAGCTAACTGAAATTTTAGATGGTGACCGGTCTTGCGCCTGAGAGCAAATTAACAGAGTGGTGATTGGCTTGTTGAGAAATGATGTCGTGGACAAAGCAGAGAAATAAAGAGGCATATCCCAAACACTGACATAATAATATGAGATATTAATGATGAAGGGAATGGGTAAAGTCTAGCAGAAAACAAAGAAACAAAATGGAGACATACCTGGATGTTTGGCGTCGGAGCACATAAACGATGGGAGCTGGGTGAGGTTATGGGCAAATGGGGCGAGCTGCGTGTAGCGTGAATGTGTTTAGGAGCCTCTGAGAGACGACGGCCGGAACGAGAGGTGTATCCAACGGTCCATGGAGACGGAATGGATGGAGCTATGAGACGGAAATAAAATGCAAAAATAAGTTCCTTTAATAGAGTACATGTTACAAAACCTATTGTACCACCTCATTAAGCTAGATAGTTACACCAACATTTTTTTCATACCTAAAATGCCCTAACATCATAAGTTTTTTAAGATATTTGGTCATGGACCATTATTGGCGGACAGTCCATATAGTTGCGATTATACAAAAATAATCAATAATTGAGATTATTATTAGCGGACCGGCAATAGTTGAGATTATTATTTTTAATTTTTCCTTAATAAAAAACATTAAAGCTAGTAAGGTAATTTTTAGATTATCAAAACTAAATACTTCCTCTGTATTTATATGTTCCCTATATTTGCTTTTGACACAATATTTTAGTATAGAATAGTAAGAGTAGTGAATAGTGTAAAAAAGTAGGAGAGATTGTGTAAGAGTATGAAAGAAAAGATAAAAAGTAGATAAAGTAAAGGTGATTGAGTACTCCCTCCGTCCCTTAAAACTTTGCCAACTTTCTTTTTTTGGATGTCCCACTAATTTTTCCACTTTCATTTTTAATTAAAGAATTTGTGGTTCCAGTTAAATCTCTCTCCTCTGCACAAATCTCAACCACACAGTTTTTACTTTTTAATCACTGTGCCGATTAAACTTGACAAAGTTTTGAGGGATGAAGGGAGTATTTTACAAAGGATAAACTTACCAAAAATGGAAGTGTAAGAAACTTTTAAATACATCCCAAAAAGAAAAGTGTAAGAAACTTTTAAATACGAAGGAAGTATTTTCAAAAGATGATATATCCAAAAATAAATGAAAGTAGAATCTAGTCCATACCGGTCCGGTTCGGTCAAATCGGAATAATCGGGTCATTTTTGGGACCCGAAGTATTCGGTCCGGTCTTCATTCCAACTACTTTGATGATTCCGTTTCTGATCTTGGACCCGAAGTACTGATGAGTGTAAAAAAATACGTAGTATAAACATATTCTCTGTATTATTTATTACGTAAATCATACAACATTACAACCTATTATAAGTTCGTTTCATTAACTATCACTCTCTTGAAAATTACTCCGTATTATTAGGTTGATGATTAAAATCATTGAGTTCCTGTTTAGAGCAAAAACGGGCTGATAAGCCTTAACATACATAAAAATCACGAAACACCCTTTTAATGGGCTGATTTAACTAATTTTTATAGTCAGCTGAAAAAGTAACTCACTTGGGCTGAAGTTTAGTACTATGTGATTAACTTATTCAAAGACATCTTTGTCATTGAATAAGTTCGTATAACTTACTTACAAGACCTTAAAACAAAATGTATCAGTGTCACAAAGTATGTCATATTTTGTGTGTAATATTTAAGTCTTAAAAATATTATACGTAGACACGTAATACGGTAGTAGTCAATTTAAGCGTTTTTGGAAACATAACCACTGAGATGTTTATGGCGTTATGGAGTGAGTTATCAGCAAAACTCTTCGTAGGTAGAAACTAGAAAGTAAAAACTTCTAGTTTCTACACCCACTCACTTTTTGAAGCAATTAAACCGCTAATCTTTTTATTGCTTACTCCATACTAGTATTCATGTTTTCCGCAGGATGTTTGTGTATAGATGCCCTAATTTGGATCAGTGAGATGCTTATTAAGATAATTAAGCTACTTTGAAGCGTTTGCTAAACATATGCGAGTATGCTTATGGAGGAAGTTACTAGCAGCAGTATGCTTAACACACCACTGAGCAAGTGAGCAGTTGGATAAAACGCTACTTTTTGAATCACTGAGATGTGCCTGTATATTTGGAAGGGGAGAGAGTGAAATGAAATAGCAGGAGACACCATTTCAAACCTCGGTAGAATTGGAGTAGATTTTCCGATCGAAATGCAGCCATCCCTGCAATCCTTGCCCGATGAACTCAAAATTGAGATCCTGAAGAGATTACCGGCAAAATCACTGATTTGCTTAAGTGCTGTGAGTAAACCATGGCTCTCTATCCTCACCAGTTCTGAATTCATCTCTGCCCACCTGTCTGAAGGGGCTTCCAAGCAGTTCTTCTTTGCAACTACAGCCAATAGGAACAGCTGTTTCGCTTTAATCAAAGATGCAGACAAAGTCGATGGTGATCTCACGGTGCAAATCGGACCAATCATCAGGCCTGATCAGCATTTCGGAAATAGGTTTTCAATTATGTTCCATCCTTTCAATGTGACAGAGTTTGAAATTGTGGGCAGCTTTGATGGGTTACTTTGCTTGACCTTTACCCAAAACAATTCTCACCGGACAATTATACTATGGAACCCTTCTATTCGAAGACATGTGTTGTTACCACCTCCCTCCATTCACACTCCAAGTAAAGGTTGTAATGCAATTGGATTTTGTGTTACCTGCGATGGTGATTATAGGGTTGTCTGGGTCCATGAAAAGAATGAAGATAGTGCTATGTTTGTTGAAATTTACTCCCTAAATTCGGGAAAATGGAGGATTAGAAGTTTCACTCATGATTTGTTTCCTAAGAGATGGTTGTTTGGTGGTCAGGCTTTTGTAGGAGGTAAGGTGCACTGGATTGGACGTGAATTTGAATATGAAGTTGATGAAATATACGATGCTCGTGATATTTCTTCAGTCACTTCATTTAACATAGACGAAGAGATATTGAGAGACGTACCACTCCCAAATGTATTAAAAGGGTTTGACTGTCCTGCAAGATTATTTATTGCTGTGGTTGGGGAATCACTGGGTATAATAGATTGTGAAGAAGGGTTTTATGACATTTGGGTGATGCAAGATTATGGAAATGTCGACTCTTGGTCTAGGCTATATGTCATTCATATTCAAGATTGTCGTAAAAGGCTACCCTTAATAGTTGCATTAAACACTTGGAAGAATTCAGGAATTTCTGCAGGCGCACACCAATGGTTCTCATTCATGGATTCTGAGCCTTTTTCGGTTTACGGGGAATACGGTGATGATACATATGAGTATGTTGCTAAGTATGTGGAAAGCCTTGTCTTGCTCGGACACAAAGATGCTGTTGCGGATGTGCATTTGCTTCAAGCGATTGCAGGTGCGAAATAATGTCATTTACATTTCCATGTTTGCTGTAATACAAGACATGTCAAGCCAACGTAATAAATATGCAATTTGACTTTAGTGCATCTCCTCATCTTATTTTTGTCATAGTTACCTGGCGCATGGCGGAGGATAATGTAGGTGATGATGGATAAGATATCTAGGTAAGGTATCACAATCTCCCCTTGTCCCAATGTAACTCATTTTTTAGAAAAGTATGCACGTACTAAGTAATATTACAAAATACCATTTTTATCACTATAAAAGTTAACATCATTACATCAAATGCTTCGTGTATCTTTCAATGTCATGTAGCATTTAAGTAGAAAAAATTACTAAGGGAATGCTAATTTTTACAAAATTTGTATTGACTTCATAATGAAGAATTAATAAGTGGCAATTTATAAAGGGTAAAATAAAGAATAATTTAGGGTGGATGAAGTAAAAAGTTAAAACCAACAGGGCATTGTTTTAATGTGGGAATTGTAGCCTACTAGCCTGTACCCCAATTCTGAATGGGGTGCAAACTCAAACTTTGATGGAAAAGTTGTGTCCAAAGTTGTCTACACCTTCTATTGTTATTGTGGACAGTGGTAGTATTAACGGTCACATAAGTTGCGGGTGTGTTTTCCTCTCTCATACAGTTTCATGTGAATTTATGCCTTTGAAATGAATGATTACCTTTGCCACATATTATGTTTCTTTCTTATTCTTCTTAAATCCTTGAGAACAATTCTTTTGGGTACTTATATCCCACAACACAAACTTGTTGAATCACAGTGTCTTTTGTTGATATTTATTGTTTTCTTAGCCTTGATGTAGCTTAAATCTGTGTGCATCTGTGGGTGATTATTTTTACTCTGTATCCTTTTCTTGAAATTAAAAATATTAAAGCAAGGTCTTTGGTCCGTAGTACCTTGATCCGTGTGTTACTGTATATTTTGTGACACAGCAGTTGCAAAGATTAATATACCTTCAGTAAGTGAGACTTGGAATGGCATCAGACATAAACATTACTCCGATATACCTTCAGTATATGATATTCAGAGACAGGAAGTTTGAAATTGTGAAATATCGTGAATCGTGATAGCGTACGTTTGTTCATCATGTCTCTGTGATGCAGAATATAGCTTTTTCTGTGATAGTAGCACTGTTAATCTCAGATAGTCCATCCTGTGGTGTCAATACTGCATGCATTTTACTGATAACATATTTGGTATCTTTTGACATAATACTATCAAGCTTAATCGCACATGTTCACAGAGCTACTTGAGAAATGCCTGAAAATTTTGCATTTTGTTTTGGGGTTGCTATTATTTTTAATATTGCTGTAGTTAAAGCTTTTTCAGGACTTTCTGGAGGCAAATGCAGTATTAAAATGTAATTGAACCAGGGATGATACTGACATGATGTAGTTTTCAAAGCTGCTTCCTTTGGATTTCAAAGTTGTTTGCTCTGGATTCCCAAATCCCAAGCTGTTTTCTTCATTCTAGTTGCCAGAACCTGTTTTATTTGTTTTTTGCAAAAATGGGGAACAGTGTACTTCTACCAGATAATTGGTGATATCAGGAGATTCCGCCAATTTTTATGTATTGAAGCTACTTGAAGTTCCAATTAATAGTACTTTAAAAAGCTGTATTTTTTTTGAAAATGACATCAAAATGATTGAAATGCAAATTTTCTATTGTTGAAATATCAATGTTTTGTTAAGGATTGGAATATGTTTTGATTCAACATTTTTCCGGACAGATGGAGCCACGCATGTTTTTTACATTATTTGCAAACATATTATGGACTAGTACATTTCCTGGCAATGGCTTTGAGTGGTGAAATGAACCTCCTTGTTCGAGGGTGGCACAGTGATTTTTCCAAGTATGATTATACAAGGCTTAACTGATTGACTCTTGTTTAATACTAGTATTAAAAATTTGGTGGAAAATTTTTAGGGGTTTACCGTTTACATGTACAATACTCCATATAACATAGAAGAATGAGATTTGAAAATGACTGGCGGTCACCAAAGTATCAAATTCAGAAAAATTCCATAGATTAGAAACCACCAAACAATATTTGATATTTATATTTGACTTTTTTGGTCATTAATGTTAAACTTTGTCATATAAGATATTCAATTCTTATACAAACTAATTTATAATATGACGATGTGCTTTTTAAACTACTCTAATAACGTTTAAAATTTACCATTTTCACAAAAATATATTGATTAAAAAATTAGTCAAAGTTTGAAACATTTGATCAAGAAAATCATAGATGACAAAACTTTAAAAGGGGAAAAGAGAGTTTAGAAAGTACAATCTTGTTAGTACATACGGGATTGTTTATATACATTCAAATAATTATTCTCTTTACATTCATAATACGATTTGCACATTAAATGTGTCTATTTCAATTTAGTTCATATTATATATCTTTATGAAATAATGACACACACACACATATAATATATATATGAAATATTAATATAGGGTGATTTGAAAAAAGGTATATAAGGTAAGGTTTGAACTGGAAAAATAGTTCTAAAAAAGTATGAAAACAAAAATAGGGTAATTAAAACTATTAATTACTATACTAAGGTTATGTTTGGCGGGCATAAGTCCCTGACTTCTAGCTTTTGTACTGTTCAAAAAGTTCCTAAAAGCTTCTAGTTGTGTGTTTGGCATGACAATATTTAAGAGCTTTTCAAAAATTAAAATATCTTTTTTGAGATGCTACCGGGAGTAGCATCTAAGAAAAGCTAGTGACTTTTAGTATTAATTAATCCTAACAGCTTGTATACCAAACCGAACTAAATCAAACAGTCAGCTTTTTATCAAACAGGTACCACCTTTTCTTTTTAAGATCTTTTCGGTCACTAAAAGCTAATAGCTATTAAAAAGTTCACAAAAGTATCTTTTCAGCTAGTTGTGCCAAACATGCCCTAATTAAAAAATGTTATCACTTTTATCAAGAATGCGGAAAAGAAAAGTACCCAATTTCATCAAACTTAGCCCAATCAATTGAGATATTTGATCATTGGAAGGTTTCTCTTGAGCAAATTCTTAGAAATTTGATATGTACTTCATTTACTCATCACATCTAATTTAGAGATTCTCTTGAGAAACATGAACGGTGATTTTCTAACAAGCTCTTGTTCTTGGAGCTTATTTGTCCAAATAAGCAATTTTTTGCTTCAGGTTTTGCTTATTTTCTGTTTTAGCACCAGGGAATAGGGATATTCTTCTTCTTATGTTTTTGTTTGATAACTAACAATTGCTTATTGCTCCCTAATTGAATGCTCGGTTCTAGTTAGCATTTTTTTTGTTTTTGTTTTGTTTTTTGATTATTTTGTTTTTAGAACTATTTTTCCAGTTCTAAAATACCCTTATATATTTGCGCAAAAGAAAATTCATTCTACATGAAAAGAGGCATATAGGGTAAAAAATGAAGAACAAGATAAAAGTATAAACGAACATTTATTATCTCATTGAATACTTCATAACTTTCTTTTCGCATTCTATGTGGATGCAATAGCAAATAGAGATACTAAGAGAATTATGATTAAATATGCTAATTCGAGTATATTCTGTGAAACAATTTTGATGAATATATAATATAATAGGTTATTGATGATAACTGTGATTTTATAATTTTTTTTAGTATTTTATGATTAAATTGTCATTTAAGTGTGTTAATTGTTTCCTAAAATAGGGTTGCAAAAAAAAATTGTTTCCTAAAATAGAAAATAATAACTTTTAAATGGACGATCAAAAAAGGAAAGTGAGAACCTTTAAATGGCTGGGATGGAGGGAGTATCACATTGCGGTTGTTATTCTTGTTACAAATGTACAATTGATGAGCACTATGGTGCACCAATACTTCACCATGAGAGTATCCATGTATCCGATATCGATACTCACCGATATGCGTCATGTACGTATTGGGTCTGTATCCGTAATTTAATAAAGGCTAAAGGGTCAAATAGGTACATGAACTAACTTAAAGTGTTCAATTAGCCTCTTATATAGGAGGTTCTGCCCGGCCATCGCCAATAGGGACGGTTCCTGGTGGAATTTTTTGATGAAATTTTTTGAGCATCTTCTTCATTAAGTCTAGTTTACCCATACCAAATTTCAGCTATAAATTCAATCGGAAAGGCAGTCAAATGATTTTCCGAAATGTGTTGATCTATTTAACTGCGCAGTTATCTTCAAAAAATCATTTGACTGCCTTCCATGTTGAATTTTTAGCTGACATTTGATAAGGGTAAACTAGACTTAGTGAAGAAAATGCTCAAAAAATTTTATCAAAAACTTCCACTGGGAACCGTCTCAATTGGCGACGGCCGGGCAGAACCTCCTATATAAGGGGCTAATTGAACACTTTAAGTTAGTTCATGTACCTATTTGACCCTTTAGCCTTTAATAAAAGTATCAGACTTATTTTTAAGAATACGGATACTTCCAATATCCGTATCCGTGAACTAATATGCGTATCTGACCTTATAACTCTCATTTCATACACAACATGACAAAAATTTAGCCGCCCAGGCGACCACAAGATGTGAAATATTGATAAAGATGATTTTGGGAGTATGGAAAATATTAGAATACTGTAATGTGTTATTTTATCGTTTGATGAGTTTTAATTGAAACAAGACTTAGATGTATGTAAATGCAAATAGAGAACAACAAATATTTTTTTGAATTAAAACTGAAATATCAGTACTTTAGTATTTTAGCCTAATCTTTCAAATTTTATTATAATAGTTACTTTTTTGTATTATTATTATTTTATTTATGAACCTTTGAATTATACTTCCTCCGTTCTTTTTTAAATGCAACACTTTCCTTTTTTGGCAGTTTTCAATTAAATGCAACACTTCCTCTTTTAGTAATAAAAAATAACTACAATGACCATATTATCCTTAAATTCATTTAGATAGTACTCGGTATACCCCATCAATATCAACCTCATGGGCTCACATGTCATCACCCTCTCCACCCAAGTTACCCCAACCCTTTCATGCCATTACCCCATTTCCCAATCCCTGATCTTTCTTCTCACGCATCTCCTTTCTCTTCTGCCCGTGCTTTTTAATTCTTTCCTCCACTTTTTTCTTCTTTCTATTTTGGGTTGCTTTATTTAATTCAGGGCTCTATCAAGAAATCCATATTTGTGATGGCCATCTTTGTTATTTTCTTCTCACAAATTTAGAGACCAAGTCAAAATTTTATGAACGGTGATGAACTGAGAAAGAAACTTTATTTTATTAGTTATATTAGAATACCAATGCCAAAACCTCTGTGCCCTCAGACCCTTCCGACCCCATTGGCCCAAGGGCAGACTTCCAGTAGTCTATCGGAAGCCTAGCCGTGTTTCCCATCCTAGATCATTGCGGTATTATTGAACCAATACTCCAACAATTAGTAAAGTGATTCCGCCATTTAAGTGACTCATAAAAAGCTTAATACTATGTGCTTTAGAGTTTGAGAAAGATGGAATGTTTATTAATATTGTTATGTTTTTTTAACTGAAAAAAGCAATGGAGTATTATTGAACCGATAGCTCGTAGATCATTGAGGTATTATTGAATCAATACCCAACAATTACTAAAGTGGTTATCACCATTTAAGTCTCTGCAATATTATAAGAGTGAATATTGTCTGGGGTATAAGGGTAATAGAAAAAGTGTTGGCGTCTCTTGGTGCACACAGTTATTGTACACCATGTATGTTATTCATTCTTAGTGTATGTGTGACTAATTTCCTCTTCTGTTACTTCCCCTTTCGACTTCCTTAGAAATTAGAATTGAATTATTCTTTAGTATCCATTTCTTTTATTTCCTTCTCACCATTTCCCTTTCACATCACTTTCTTCCCCTTAGCACCTCTTTTGTTACCCTTTAGACGGGCGTTTAGACCCTCAACGGCTGCAGACCTACCGATTAAAACCAATTTGGTTGATTCTGCTGATTTATGAAAAAATTATATTTAAAATATAATTTATTAATTAAATAAAGAAAAAATTATACGAAATATAGAAAAAATGATCCTATACAATAACTTCAGCTAATACAGGCATAAAAGTTACTTCAACCTAACTTTTTTTATTACACAATTTAGCGCGTGAAATCAAAAGTCACGTGCAATGCCGGTCCTACCTAAATTCGGACCTGAGTCGAGCTTCATAAAATGGGTCCTGTGCCTAGTGTTTTTATTCATTAAAATTTAATGATTAAGTATCACAAAAACGCGATTCTTAAATAAAAGTTTTACACCGTCACAATGTAATGCTACAATTTATAAAAGTCTTACACTTTAACAATGTAATGTTACGTTTTGTGAGGATGTACATTCCGAAGTGGCCGTTTTATTCGAAATCAAGTACTTATTAATGTCTTCAGCCTGACTTTGAGTTAATGATTCAATACATGATTTCCTTTTCCTATTTTGAAATTCTTAAAATATATAATTTATTGAAATCCTTAACAATATATACTAGTAATTTTCTCTACAATTCTACAAATACAAAGTATATAATTTGATTAATTGTGAAGCGAGAATTCCATAATTGCAATATTGATCAACCTAAAAAAAAAAAACAACAATCAACTAGCATTTAAAAATTTACAAATTAAAACATTACAAATTCACACATGAAAAATAAATTAATCAATTATACATCACATTTAACATTTAGCAAATCAATATAAAGTTAGAAAATCTGAAAATCTAGGTATAATAGTAAAGTAAGCAAAAATGGGCCCCTAATTTTTTCTGTTTTTTGGGCCCTGAGGCTTGGGCCTCTCCAGCCTTACATAAGGCACGGGCCTGGTCACGTGTTTGGTGAAAAAAACTGTTTGATAAGCATGATAAACCGAAAAACAAGGCCACCATTCGAGCTCTTAGACTTTAATTCCAAACTATCTTTCTATGTCTCGTAATAAATTTTGAGAAAACATATTGATCTAAGAAATTTATTATATGTACAAACCTTACAGGTCAGTATTGTGATCATATGTGGCATATCTAGAAAGAAACGCATGACATAACATTTCTTCCGTATATAAAAGTTTCCTACACTTTCCCTTTTGAGTGTATTTAAAAATTTCATACACTTTCCCTTTTTGGTAAATTTTTCCTTTAAAAATACTCAATTACTCTTGTTTTTTCTACTTTTTATCTCATCTTTTCTACTTTTTCGCCATTTCTCCTACTCTTTTATACTATTCATTACTCCTACTATTTTATGCTAAAATATTGTACCCAAATTAAAGCTAGTGCAGAGATCATTAAAATATGGAGGGAATAGTAACAATGAGATAAAAATCAATTGAAAAATGAAAGGTTGAGATTTCGGGTTCACACTTAGTATGAAATAAAGTAACTAAATCAAGTAACTAAAAGTTACTAAATAAAGCATACATTATGAAATCATGGGTTTCATTAAATTATTTGTGTTCATTTGGCTCAATCAAAATATGCTACTATGTGACCATTTGAACACTTAAAAATATTCTGATAGTGATTACATCATGTAAAGGTAAAAGGAGTTAATTTAGTTCCTAAAGCATACGAAAAATGGCACAACTAACATAATAGAAAATTGTTAATTAACATTTCTTCTATACAATAAAACCCCATCTTTTTTCTGTTCATGCAATCCTATTCTACGTTTTTTGGTTCTTAAAGTGAAATATCAATTTCCATATATGGGTGGCAGCATTTTAATAGCATAGATATATACGTATGTAATACTCCGTATGTATTATTTCCCTAGCTTTTACTCCATAGCATTACTCGAATGTTGTACGTATGGTTGTGTGGTGGGGTTGGGGGCAGATGAACACTACTCTCAAGTGTCCTAATTTGTTTTTTGGGGGGTATTTTACTATTTTGGTGTAGCAACCTTTTTACTTTTCATTCTTTTTATGAGCTGTTCTTTGTTATGCTATTATCTACAAATGACGCATCAAATACAAAAGCATAATTAATACTCCGTATACAGGGGCTTAACGATTGGATTGTAACGGAACTCAAGGAGGAAAAGAGAAAAACTATATGGTATAATAATGAGAGGATAATGCACAAGAGTGTGTTGCTTTGTGTCACACCAACACATTTAATATGACAAAAACAACCTAATCTTCTTAGATAATGAATATGTTGAGGATCGATTCCGTCGCCGTATTCCGGCTCAGGCAGTCCGGAGCTCGGTTTCCGATTGTCTCTTGTGCACTCCTAAGCTAAGGGAGCAACTTCCCTAGATAGCCATGCCTACACTCACCCTCTAACCTCACAAAGAAGAAGAAGGAAACACTCACAAAGAGATGCACACTCGGCCAGGAAGAAGAGTGGTTCAACAAATGAGACTCTAGCTTGAATTACTAGGGATCAAACTGCCCGTATGTATACAGAGGGAACTTTTGGCATATTAGCCCATGAAATGGACGGACAGACAATAATACATGGCAACAGCTCAAGCAAGTTGGACTATTCCAACACAACCACACAAACAAATAACTCACAACTAACTTAATAATGCCACTTAATCAGGATTCAAACGAGAGAACTGAATAGGCTTAAATTAGTCTGGTGTAGAGAATAGAAAGTGTAGCGGGCTGCTAAATAGGGTGTCAACTATTATTAATATACAAAGACCAATTGGGCCAATAATATATTAACAATCTCCACCGTTGGCCCAAGGTAGTGCACTTAGACAATCACGGAACCGCAGACTCATCATTGCCGGATCATTACAAGTATAATCACAAAGACAATACAAGTAATAGAGAGACACAAGTACTCTCGGGGTAAAATCACCAAGCTTACCGAGTCCATAAAGGACTTAACTCTACCATAAGGTCCTCGAGTTCAAAACCGAAACCATCACAATGCTATTAACAAACACAAGGTATGTTAATAGCCCACGCAAGCAAGCATCCGGGAGAAGTTGGGGATCCCATCTAATCCAACAACCACACAAAGCAATTACACAGAAAATAAAAGAAACAATAGTATTTCTATAACTAGCACAGGCGGAGCTCACATAATCACATGGTATCACATTTTCAAAACACAAAGAAAATAGCATACCAAATATCACAAAGATTTTAATTAATAGAGAATTAAGCACATGTAAAGCAAACTCAGAGGAAATATAGTCAAACACATTGCACATATTATTTCTCTCATGCTTCCTAATGTCTCTATCTCTAATAGCATGGCAATCACACAACTCAAGCATATTGCACACAACATTCATATCATGCTCCACCTTAATAGAAATATTATTTTCTTTATTTTCACCATGAAAAACATTTTCATCCACAAATTTGGGTTCGGTTTCAACAAGTAAATCCGAATGAACATCAGGCAAATGCTCCACCTCATTTGGAGCAACATCAGGAGAAACAAGCAGGCAAGGAAATTCATTTTCAACAAAAATGACATTTCTACTCATCAACACATTGAAGCAAGTTTCACTCCTACACCAAAGCCTATAACCTTTCATGCAATCATGAAATCGTAAGAAAACATATTCCTTAGTCCTAGGTTCAGATTTATCATTCACACGATTCACATAAGCAGCACAACCAAACACTCTCAAATTTGGCAAGTCAAGTGGTTTGCCCATGAACACAGATTCAGGGCATTTCCCTCCTAAGGGATTAGACGGGGACAGATTAATCAAATCAACAGCATAACAAATAGCTTCCCCCCAGAACTTATTAGAGAGCCCAGATGAAGCTAACATAGCCCTCACCCTCTCTAATAAAGTTCTAACCATCCTCTCAGCAACCCCATCCGGTTGGGGTGTGGAGGGAACAGATTTATGCATAGAAATACCCCAAGTATCACATAAATCACCAAGCTGACTATCACAGAAATCAAAACTGACTGTGGTCCTTAAAAAATTAATTTTCTTACCGGTTTGTTTTTCAACAAGGGTTTTCCAGTTTTTAAACTTATCAAAAACTTCAGATTTATTCTCATTCAACAAAACCCACACTTTCTTTGAAAAATCATCAATCAGTGTCAGAAAATAATTTTTCCCACCATGAGTGGAAACACCATAAGGACCCCACAAGTCAGCATGAATACAATCAAGCACATCAGTACACTTAGGCAGATCAGGAAAACCAACTCTAGACTGTTTTCCTAGCACACTTGGTTGCACACAATTCACAGAATCAAGTAGGGGTTCAGCATGACAAACATACAAGTTGTTTTTCATCTCAGCTTTGAAAACAACTAAACAACCCTTCACAACTTTCATGATTCCCTTTCCCCATTTTCCCTTCAAACCCTCATTTTCAAGAGAAGCACAAGATAGCAAATTACAACACAGCTCAGGAACATGCCTAACATTCTTCAAAGTAAGCACATAACCAGAAGAAAACCTAAGGCATACATCTCCTATTCCTAGCACATTGCATTTCTTCTCATTTGCTAAAGACATAAAGCCATGCTCAATCTCTCTATAGTTTGAGAAAACATTTTTCAAAGGGGACATATGAAAAGTACAACCAGAATCTACCACCCAATCTGATTTACCCAAAGAATCAGATATCACAGAACTCAAATAGTCATAATCACATAGATTTTTCATCATAAAAACATCACCTAAATCATCTTCACACGTAGTCAAATTAGCATGCTCACTATGCTCATTTTTCCTAGATTTAGGACAGTCTCTTATGAAATGGCCAGGTTCATGACAATAATAGCAACGCCTCGAATTAGACCTAGACTTAGATCTATGTCGTCTACTATTATTTTCTCTACCCCTCACATGCATAACTTCCTCGGATTTTCTACCCTCACCCATCTGTTTTAAATCTAATTCCTTACTCTTTAGACCATTTACTACAATGTCAAGAGTCACATTATCTCTACCATACTTAATAGCAGATTTCACATCACCAAAGGAATCAGGAATAGCATTTAAAAGAGCAATAGGGGAATAATCATCTATATGCTTATCACCACACAACTTAATATCCGAAATAAGTTTGGTAAAAACATCTAGATTTTCTTCAATATCTATAGACATATCTAGTCTAAATTTGAAGAACTTTTCAAGTAAAAATATCCGGTTAGGCAAAGAGGTCTCAGTATACAGTTCATTTAATTTATTCCAAAGAACTTTAGCACTTTCTAAAATTCCAACTTTTCTAATCACAGAGTCAGATAAGTTCAAATAAATCACAGAACATGCATTTTCATTCATTTCGGCCCTTTTATCTTCCGTGTCAGAAATTAAATAGGTTTCGCCAACTGCTTTAAAACATTTTTGTTGTATTAAAATACATTTAATTTTTTGCTTCCAAATGCTAAAATCAGATTTTCCATTAAATGGAGCCATACCATACTGATTATAAGCAGACATTTTCACAGAGAAAAAATAAGCAGCAAAAGAAAATGTAAATTTTCGCTGAAAACAATTTAAATATTTATAAGGCTACAAATATACGGAGCAACTAGCACGAACACGTGGGGAGTATTAATGAGCACCAAACTCAACTTCAAACCCCTTGTTCTTCCGTATAAGCACAAATAAATAATAAATTTTCAGCACAGAACAACACAACAATTCAAACAATTTTAAAAGCAGTAATAAACCTAAAACAGATTTCTACAAAATAAAAGATTAAATCACTACAAAAGCGATAAAAGGGATAAAAGTCAATATACCGTAGCGAAACCCTAGGAGAGGCGTTTCGACCTTACCCACTCAATTTAAAAATTGGGTTTTTTCTTTTCTTAGAGTTGACTGCCGTTGACTAGTGTTGACCAAGCTTTGACCGAATTGACTAGTTGACCAGTTCACCAGTCCAATGTCCAGCCCAATTCCACAAGTCAAGCCCAAACCCAGTCTTGTCCAGTCCAAAGCTTCCTATTAGCTCCAGCAATTGAGCAGCCCAACGTCCAGTTGACTTGAAGTTTGGCAACCAATTCTGAGACCCAAGTTCTCTGCTACCTGCACAAAAACTTCGTCCCAGGCCTCAACGTTCGGCCAGTCGTCTGCTCAAATCAAGCTCCAGCGATTTGCCAGGTCCAGGCCAACAACCAGATCCAACTTTGCAGCAATCAGATTCAAGCAACCCAGTGCAATAAAGTTGAAGCCAAGGTCCTCTGTTCTCTGCTTCTGCGCAAGATTCGAACGGAGATCGGAAGCTACCGAGTTTCACTGTCTCAGCCTCCAGCGACGTACGGCCGGCCTCAGCTGCTCAGCGACGAACACCACGCGTCCAGCTTCACAGCCCTGCTCCAGACCTGCGTTTCAATAGACCGAGCTGTGACTTGAAATCCACGAACGAGCTCTGCCACGAATTCCAGGTTCAACCACCAGGCTTCCGGATCCACGCCTCCAGCGAACCCTAGCAACGAATCCAGCTACTAGCCGGCAACAGCCTCAGCGACTAACAGATCGGCGGAGCACGGCGGCGGAGACTTTCCAGGTGGCGGAAACCGGCGAAATCGACGGCGACGACAACCCTAGTCTCTGATACCACTGTTGAGTATCGATTCCGTCGCCGTATTCCGGCTCAGGCAGTCCGGAGCTCGGTTTCCGATTGTCTCTTGTGCACTCCTAAGCTAAGGGAGCAACTTCCCTAGATAGCCATGCCTACACTCACCCTCTAACCTCACAAAGAAGAAGAAGGAAACACTCACAAAGAGATGCACACTCGGCCAGGAAGAAGAGTGGTTCAACAAATGAGACTCTAGCTTGAATTACTAGGGAGCAAACTGCCCGTATGTATACAGAGGGAACTTTTGGCATATTAGCCCATGAAATGGACGGACAGACAATAATACATGGCAACAGCTCAAGCAAGTTGGACTATTCCAACACAACCACACAAACAAATAACTCACAACTAACTTAATAATGCCACTTAATCAGGATTCAAACGAGAGAACTGAATAGGCTTAAATTAGTCTGGTGTAGAGAATAGAAAGTGTAGCGGGCTGCTAAATAGGGTGTCAACTATTATTAATATACAAAGACCAATTGGGCCAATAATATATTAACAGAATACAAGTTCGTTCCTAGATTTCAGTCCTATGATTTTCTTAGATAAACCTAATTTACTGAATATTACATACACCACATTTAGCAAATATAGATCCCTAAATTTATTAGATTTTATTTCGTAACCATCATTATGTTGTCTTTAAATGGATACAGAAAATAGCTTCAGAGAAGTTGACAACCTGAGAAGACCTAATCCAATATACATGTGTATGTAGCAACGGAGAGAGAGCGAGAGACGAAGTCTGGAGCACTGTTCATCGTAAATGCTCCTTTCCTTCTTCTTGTTTCTTAAGGGTTGTATTCCCTGCTCACTGGTTAAGCTATGACATTTTTAATTTCTTCGGAGGGAGAGAATGAAGGGTATGTCACTGGGAGAAGAAGAGGAGAAAGGTTCTATCGTGAAGCAGGGACAAAAGGTTTCAAAAAATAAGCCAGCAAGTGACACATAGACTTTTAAGTTTTAACTTTAAAAGCCACATCAACTTTTAACGTCTCATAAGACGGGAAATGAAACGGAATACATAAATGTTATAAAGTAAATAGTTGGAATCTTTTTAAGATAAAATGTAAAGATGAGGACAGATTTTTGAATTTTAAGAAACTTGAGGATATATTAAGTTAATAAGTCAAAATGTTATAACTTTTTCATTTGTGTTCCGATTTTTGTAAAATTTGTATCAAATCAAATAATTTTTCTTGATGTTTCATATGACACCCATATTAGATATGTAAAATTTCAAAAAACAAATTGTGGTATGTCTGTTAAAATTTGATCTAGTGAATTGGCGATTGGTGTGTATTAGCCGGCTAACAAGCAAGTCTTAAATTTAAATTGCCAATCAATGTGTATTTCGTCATAGGTAAAATACACCATATAGCCGGCTGTACCGTGCGCACGGTACAACCGACTCTTTTTTTGGCTATGCGCTTCTTCTTCGATCTATCTCGCTCTGGCCTTCTTCCTCGACTTCACCTACACTCAGCTTCGCAGATCTCGTCTGATTCTTCAATTTGGCTTCGCAGCGCACCTGGTTGATTATCATCAACGCTCACGACTCGTCTCCTTCTCTTCCAGGTTGTTACTCGTCGTTGCCTTTCACCGCTCATCTCCTTCTTCTCTAGAACGGACAAAGCAGATCCTCCCTCTGTCTTTCTTTCACTCTTTTAGTTTTCCTCTTCTTCTTAATAAGTTTTGGTGTTTGAGATTGTGATTTTGGAAGACAAAGAGAGTCTGCTGCAGACATAGGAATCCCCACTGCTATTGATCTCAAATGAGTTTTATATTAAAGTCAAATGAGTATACTCATAAAAGAAATGAACAAACATAACTGGATATTAAGCACATTAAAAATGAGTTTTGTATTAAACTTAAATGAGTATACGCTTAAAAGAAATGAACATACACAACTGAATATTAAGCACATTAAAAATGAGTTTTATGTTAAACTTAAATGAGTATAACGCCCAAAATCAATGAGCATATGCAAATGAGCTTTTGAATTTTTTGATACTCATTTTGTAAATTATGTATGCTCATTTGATACTGCTTTATGCTCACTTTGAAATGATGCACATGTCAACTATAACGCCCAAAATCAATGAGCATACACAAATGAACTTTTGAATTTTTTGATACTCATTTTTTAAATTATGTATGCTCATTTGGTACTGCTTTATGCTCATATTAAAATGATGCACATATCAAACATATCATACTACATTAGACTCACATATTGAAATTAATTATAAACATAATTAAAGAATTTTTTATAAACGAAAAAAATAATAAAAAGAAATTGAATTAGAAGATATGATTAAGAAATCACTGGTGCTCATTGTTAGACTCCTAATACCCAAAAGAACAGACTCAATGCTCATCACAAAGGCATAATGCAAATCACCGGTGCTTATAATTTCAAGTTGATGCTCAATGAAAATGTATTGATGTTCAATTAAATGTACGGACGGCCTAATCATGTACCGGGAATTCCGGCACCCATACCGCCGGAATAAGCACTATGTCCACGAAGACTACAATCACGGGTACACACCTCGCTTCAACAATTGGAATCGAGACAGGGACAGATTTCCCAATCCCCAACTACGCCGCCCTCAACCTCAAGACCGAGGATCCAGTGCCCATTTCAACCCAAGGGCAGTTCCTTTTGTGGCCGATAACTACTTCAGAAGCCACTCTAACAGGTTCTACCACAATGGCATCTCTAAGCCTCTACTGTCGGAACGGGCGGGCTGGAACCCCAGGACACGACGACCAGAATATCTTCAGGAAAACCTCGACAATCAACATCTAGCAACTCTTCGAACCAACCCACAGGATACAGAGGATCACTGGCGCACAGTCCACAAGCGCCGACCCTCTGCTACGCATCCCAACCGGCGAAGAAGGAAACCACTCTCAGATTTTGATTGTTCAGTGGTTAATCGAAATCGTTATTTTTGCTTAGATTCAGAAGATGATTTTTCTGTCCATATCCCTGCGTATGAGCAGGCATTGGTCAATTATCCTCAGTCCCACAGCCTTTCTCACCCCCACAGATACGGAGAAAACGAAAATCGTATTCGTAGACAACCTAAAAATGATCCGCGCACATCAGCGAAGGACAGTCGTCTACACCCGCGGACGAAGCTTACAATCCAGCTTGGAAACCTAATCGAGGCCTACGGACCAGAGAACGACGAAGAAGACAGAGGAAGACAGGTAGACCAGAGACCTCTAGCTCGGCCAAAATCACCTCCTGCGACCCTCGTCGGAAAGAGAGGCGAGTACGACGCAGTCGCTACTCCGACACACTCACCTGCGACGGAAAAGTTAGCCCGAAGGAGTGAAGATAATTCACCCACATCGTCGGTGGGGCCACAATACAGACATATGCAGGGTTGTTATGAACGTCAGTCTGGACATTTGGAGTATACGGAAGCTCCCAAATTGCTCACATGGGCTGACTTAGTAAGGCCAGACAAGGATAGACCCGCACCCCCAGCACAGTCCCCTACCATACCCCACAAGGAAATAATTGAGTTTCCACAAACGGCCTCACAAAAGGTTTCTCGTCTTCTGTCTTTGGTCACGACAGAAGAAAATCGGGCTGAAACAAATATCTTCTACGACGATTGTGAAAAATTCTCTTTCTTTGGGGAGGACGGTTTTGACTCGGTCAAAATTGAAACAAAAATTTTTAAATTCGCAGCGAGAAATAGCGATTTGGTCCTCTTTGAAATTAAAAAATCCCAACTGCACAAGATCCTAATCAATCATGATCTTGCTCCTCAAATTATCCGGTTCCTCTCCCAAGTCACATATTTTGACCAGTCTAATTTTACGCGATGCAGCAGACGATTTGGAGATATTACGGTTTCCTTGGAAACTAATAGATCAGGCAGCTTTATTAAAATGGCTAAAATCAAGGGGGGCTCCATTCAGATTCCCATTGGACATAAAAAATCAAGCCTGCTTAAATTCCTCAATGTTTTTTCTAATTTTGTAGGGATGTCAACATATGTGCAGGACGACTCAATCAATTTGCAACACGGGAGCTCCATTGAAACCGAAGACCCCACATCCATCTCTAAACTTATTTTTAATTATCAAATCTATGCAGCAAGTACTGAGAATCTACAGGTCCACTGTCCAGGGAAGCAACTCCAGCTACCACTGATCCAAGCTTACTCAGACGCCTCCGACAGCTTTGAGCATTCTGACGACTCTTTCTTCACAGATGATTTTTTGGGACATGCAACCGAAAATGACCGTCGACCTCCAATCTCATACCCGGAAGAAATTAGAAAGTCGAAATTCAACAGAGCGATTTGCCGCAAAGCAATTTTGGTAAACTCGGAAAATTGTCTGCCAACAGACAATCTGAACACACAACTCAAAATTTATAGGAAATCTCAGAAAAACAAAAGGCGCCACAGCATGAAGACCAGGTCTCAATCCAGAGATTTTCCTTGGGATTAGTTTCATGTATCTTTTCTTTTTAAGTTTTCTGTTTTCTGTTTTTTTTTTCCTTCTTCTTTTTACTTCTTTCTTGTACTGTACTGTACCTTTTTCAATCAATAAAATCAAAAACTATTTTCTCAAAAAAAAAAAAAAAAAAAAAAAAAAAGTTCAATTAAATGTACTTATGATTTTCATATCAATTCTCATTATCTAAGTTATGTATGCTCAACGGGTATTCATGTTATGCTCATTTGTAAAATGACATAACAGTGCTTATTTTAAAAGTATCATATTGGATTAAATTCGCATACTGAAGTTCATAAGAGTTGATTATAGATATAATTTAATAAGTTTTTATAAAGAAAAAAATTGAAGAAAAGAAAGTAAATTCGAAGAGATGAAGCAAAGATCACGATGCTCATTGTTATGCTTCTATTGCTCAACATAATATGTATCATGCTCACTAGACATGTTTTAATGCTCATTTAGTACAAGACACGAATTTTATGTAAATTACAAAAATGCCACCGGCTGTACTATATACGCTTCCTTCATCATATGTGTTTTCTTGTAGTTTTATGACATTTTGTGAATTGTTTAACTTGATGAAAAAGTGGTGTGCCCATCCACTTGACATATGTGTTAAATTCATATCGTTTGAAATAAAATGTTAAAAATATATATTTTATCTTAACTTTATTTATTTTATTTTAAAAAAGTTAAAAGGTTTTAAAAATCATATTTGCATTTATTTTAAATAACCACAGAGTAATTGTTTTTTAAAAAAACTAATAAATAGTCATATGGAGTAAAATTGTGGGGTAAATTTTTGTCTAAAGTGTTTTTTAGGGGCGGGCAAGAATCCTGGTCCCGTTGTCCCATTCCGGTATATCCCAAAACCGTACCGGTGTTATCCCGTTCCGTTTGGGTCTCATTGATTTTGTCCCGCACCGGTCCTGTACCGGTTTAAAACGGGACGAGACCGGGACATTGGAAGGTTATCCCGAACCGTCCCGTTGTCCCGTTTGTAATAACTATATAGATTTTGTAGCATGTGACTAGTGTGTAATGTCAACTCAAAAAATAAATGGTAACATGTTTTTAGTTCTTCAAGCCCAATTTTAAATTAAAAATAATACCTGACATGAATATTTACTAACATAGATTTTTATCCCACTTTCTATATCTACATATGAGTATCTCACAGCTAGAACACATGATTTTGAATAAACTAATTCATTTTTGCTTTGTTTTAAATTTAAATTTCAAATTTTGCTAAACCTAACTAAAATCTATTACGTAGTAGCTTTTAGCTTGTGATGAACATCAATTAACTTTTAAAATGTTAATATTTTGGTGCATGATACTTTAGAAATGCTAATATATATATTAATTACAAATGATTATTTTTTATTTGTTTAGGACGTCTCGAACCGTCCCGAACCGTTCCGAACCATCCCGATCCCGATTTAAATGAGACAAGAGTAGGACAAAGGCTTGTCCCGTACCGTCCCGTTCCGTCCCGTTATTATTAATTGGGACGGGATCGGGATAACCCTAATCCCGAACCGTCCCGACCCATGCCCACTCCTAGTTTTTTTTACCAATCTCTCCAATACCTTTTTTTTACCCAAATAAAAAAAAAAACCATTCGGCTCGTCCTCTCTCTAAAACCCAAAAACGGCCCACACATCCTTATCAAGCAAAAACCGCAGTCTTTTCGTCCTCCTCGCTAATCTCGCCTTCGCCTACTCAGTCTCAGCCGGCAATTCTTCAAGGCGGAGAAGGCGCAACTCAGCCGGCTCGTCCCCTGCTTCAGTCAATCACGTCGCTCTCCCTGTCTCTGGTCGAACCATCGCCTATCGGTCCCTGAGCGCCTCTACGGCTCTACTTGCGGATTCGCTGCCTCGCTAGCTGCTAGGTCCCATCTAGGAGTTGTAGTCTTCTCCAGTTCTTCTCTTCGCTAGTCCGCCTCTTCAGATTTGAGGCCTAGTTAATTAAATCAGGTATGTGAATTATATGAAGTTCAATACATGAAAGTTTTATTCCGTAACATGATATAAAAAGTCAAAATTCATTGAAAAGGATTCACGTTTAAAAAGGGTGTAGATACGAATACATGTATAATGTGGTATCTTTATGAAAAACTTTTGGACAAAATATGTGGACCAATTGCACACACATTCTATAACAAATCTCATTACTACATCAGAAAAACTTGTAATAGCATAAGTTCATGGCAAAAAAGAAATAGTAATTACATTCAAGAATCAAGACTTAAGTCAGCATAATGATAGAATAAGATCTAAGTTAATCTAATCATCTCCATCGCATAACACCCATGTTATACTCATCATCTTCAATTCATCTTCTTCCGGGATATGAAAAAATTTAGAGAAGTTTAGAAAAACCTTAATTTAGAACCTATCAAGATTCTAAATTTTAGTCTTTTATGACTTTAGATTTAGTTTCCATGCATTTACTTTTAATATTTAATAATTGAATATTTTGTATTGTGATTTGTGACAATAAAAATAACAGTGTCACGGGGATGAGATTTTTCTTTTTTTGAATTTAATTTTGTATTGCATCTCCTGTTCATTAATTTCATTCAATTGACCATCATCATCATCATTACACCAGTGCCGCAAAGGCTAACACCTACGGTGAGGTAAGGGGGTCAGATGTACATAGTCATACCCCTGCATAAAAGCATAAAAGCACATGGAGACTGTTTCCGTATGACCCATAGTGAAAATCGCGTCAAAAATTGCATGGACCGACTGTTACTTCATTCAATTGACCAATGCATTAAATTTTTTTCATTTTTTTTTGTCAAGTATGATGGAATAAAGCAAAATGGCTCACTAAACTGTCTGTGCTTCTTTGTTATGAAGCAGCGGTCAGTCCATGCAATTTTGGACCCAATTTTCACTATATGTCATCCGGAAACAGTCTCTCTGTGCTTTAGTACAGGGGTAAGACTGCTTACATCCGACCCCCCTACCCCACCATAGGTGGGAGCCTTTGCGGCACTGAGGTAAATGATGATGATGAACCTCAAAGTAGGGGTAGGAAAAGTTTCTTCTTTTAATTAAAAACAGTACTTGTTTGAAACATGTATAATTGGTATAAACTAAATATGAATATATGATGTGAGATAGGTTTTATATTTTCTAAGTTTGTTATACTTTTTCAGCTCTTTGTTTTAATTTTTTGGAATTTCAAAAGAGAAGTACTATATTTTTATTCCCTAAATAAGAGTATTGTGTCTTCACTACCTAAAAGAAGTAATTACTTGCATTAGGAGGCTTTTAGCATGAAAATCTTTTCCAAACTTAATCATTTCTATTTAAATAATAAAAAAATACTCATATTTTGAAATTCTCTAACATTTTTACTCCTATTTAGTACAATTTTTTTTTTATACTTTCACTCTCTCAAGCTTTCAGCTTTATGCCTTTATATAGTTATAATTCATATAACTATATTTGCTTCGTCACTTGGGCTGCTACCGGCTTGCGTGGATAGCAGTCATAGCACAGTGGCCATTTTTAACATTTATCATTAAATTGATTTATGATTTGTATGTTTTGACTTTTGACTTGTCACATGCTAGGTAGTTTACTCGCTACTCGGTAGCTACTCGGTCAAGGGCCGAGTAGCGAGTATGACCGATTACTCGGGATTACTCAGTGATTACTCGGCCTAGTATTAATTAAATATAAAAAATATATTTAAATATAGTAGTCTTAATATAGTAATAAAATTGCCTTTAAATTGTCTTAAAATGTTTAGAAGTGAATAAAAGGATAGAAATTGTCTTAAAATGCATATAATACGTATACAATACCAGAATACAACTTCAAGAAGCACGAGCATTGGAAGAAAAGACAAATATTTTCTGTAGTTTTTTGGCACCTATTCTTATTCCAATTGAAGAACTTCAAAGTGGCACCTACGGAACAACTAGTCCTCAAAGGTAGTTCCCTAAATGAAAATTGCAGCTCACCCAAAACCAAACATGATGCTTTTTTGCTAAGCTATATTTTTCACCTTTTCAATTAAGAGATTTTATTTCAGTATTCAGCAACTCAGTTCTCAGGGGTACATTCAATACATTCACTTTAGTTGGCCAAAGACTTGAAAATGTACAATGAAAACACCGGTTTAAGAAGCACAAGCAAACGAAGAACAATCCAAAATTCTCAGAGTTTATTACAGTATACAGAGAAGAATATAATAGGAAACATGAGGGAGAATAAGAAACAACACAGAGGATAATCTCAATTTAATTTTTTTCCAAGCAGAGGTAGTGTTTTTTTTACATACCGAGTACTCCCGAGTAAATCGCCTTTTTGACCCACTGATCGAGTTGGCTAACTCGCCGAGTACTCGGTGAGTAACTCGGAATAATAACTCGGGCCGAGTAATGTGCTACTCTGCAAGGTCATAGGCCGAGTAGGGAGTACTCACTGAGTACTCGCTGAGTACTCGCCGAGTAAATAACCCAGGTCACATGTCATTTGTGAGTATCATTTATGTTAGGGATTAAGACAAGAATAATACTCTCTCCGTCCCAAATTATAAGGCACTTTACGATTTACGATGTTTGACCGACGATAAACCAAATTTATCTCTGCCAACACTCAAATTAGTTTTAGAAAATAAAATTTACATATTCAGAAAGTACATTAAAGCTTCTACAAAAGATAATTCATATTTCATAAAAATTTGATATATAAAGTAAGAGATTAACGGTGATTTCTGTTGACCAAGTGAGTAAGAAAGGTATCTTATAAAATGGGATTGAGGGAGTACTAAAAATTGGCTCATGGACAAGAAAGAGACTTTTTGTTTAAATTTCCAAAAAAAGAGACTTAAAGGAGTAAGAGGACCATTATGCCCTCCACACTTGACCCGTTACTACAGTGACTAACGCTACAATGACAAGTGCCACAGTGACCAACGTCATAGTGACATGCATGTTTGTTCGTCCCCGTGAACAATGCCCGTCTGTCTGGTGACCAACGCCCAGTTGTCTGGTGACCAACGTTTGCCCAACCAATGACCAACATATACCCGTCCATACCAACGTCCGCTTGTCCACTCATCAATCTTTCGCTCATCCAGGACTTGACTCGCCTAGTGACCTAACCCAACCAGATACAGTTTCCTGACTCAACCAGTTACTGTTACCCGATTTGTCCAGTTACAGTTCCCCGATCTGACCAATTACAATTACTGGACCCGATCAACAATAAATCTATAATTACCAGATCTAACCTGATTTTGATACTGACATTGCTGCTCATCACCAGTCCCACCAGAGACCCCCACTGTTGTTGATTACCACCTCCGCCGCCTGTGACCACCCATCATCTGCACCTCTGTGGTGGCCAGCCTCCCCGACTTTGCACATTGTCACTGCCCCATCACTCTTCATCCCCGCACCATCGCCCCTACCCCCACACTGTAACTACACACGCCTCAGAAACTGTCACCTCCAGCAGTGACGCCGCCGTCCACACCTCATCCCACAGATCATATCCCCTGCCCCGTCATTGCCTAAAATGCCCCCACCAGCACCCATTGATGCCCACTATGGCCCCACAGCTTTCCCACACAAGGTTGTCAAGATCGTGCGATCTTCTTTGTTGTGGGTACATGGTCGAGTTAGATCGCAGTTTGGATCGGAAATTGCAATTAGATCGTCGGATCAACGAGCTAACTTGTTAGGTCGCGGAATTTTCGATATCCTTCGATCTGTGTCGTTCATGTTTGTAGGGAAGGAATATGATTCTCATGGTCGGAATTCCGGAACGACACTCATGTCGGAAAATACACATATTCCGGACCAGTTAACTTGCAAAAATCATTTGACGACCTTCCTGGTTGAATTTTGGCTGAAATTTGGTATGGATGAACTAGACTTGATGAGGAACATACACAAAAAATTTTAGCAAAAAATACCACCGGGAAGGCCCCCAAAAGGAGGAGGCCGGACAGCACTCCGGTCTGGAAATTCCTGACCGGAAGATTACTCTATACACACACACACACACACACACACACACACACACACATACATATATACTTTGTATAAAAGTGCACAATTTTCAATAATTTATTTATTTGACTTCTTGATTGAATTTTAAACTGAAATTTGGTAGACATAGTCTACCCTTTATTGAGAACAAGCTGACAAAGTTTTTTTAAAAAAATTGACCCGGAAGCACCTCAAATGAAAGAGGCATAATACTTGTAAGTTTCAGGCCTACCGTAGGAGAACACTCTCTTATATGGCTATATATATTTGTATATACACAATTACACATATATATGTATACACACACATATGCATGTTGGGCTGTACGCTTCGGCCCACTGAGATCTGGGAACCGAATAAACAAAGAGCAGCTGCCTGCTTTAATAAAATGTGCAGGCAGCCCTAGTTGGCCCTGTTTCTTTGGTGGCAGTCAGGCCCAGAACTTAATTGTTTACCATAATTGTTTGCCTATATATCTTGACTCCTGTACTTGTAAACTAGGACTTGTATCATTCATCATCTCAATAAGAAAAAAAAACCTAGTTGCCCCCGTGAATTAGGTCAGTAACATTTGTTACTTACAGGCTGAACCACGTTAAATTCGTGTGCCGTTCTTCTCGTTCTTTTCCAGTCTTTCAGATTTGCGTGGGTGCACCCTAACCCTAACAATTCAATATAGTTTTGTTTCGAGGATCTTACCATTCGAGTTACAAATTTACGATCTCCTAAACCCTCTCCCATCCGAGCTAGGATCTCAATTTTAACAACCTTGCTCCCATGGCCACACCAACCGCATCACTGCCCCCAGATCTAACCATAGCTGCCGCAATGGATCTAGATCGTCGCCCATGGTCGTCGCTGAATATTTTGCCCGTCGCCACTCTGATTTGGTCACTACTGCATCGAGGACAACAACAACTGTCATCACCTCTCCATGCCTGAAAATGAAGAACACTGATGGCAACAGCTAGAAAACGACGAGTGCGATGGCGATGTCCACCGACGACGAGGCAGACAACAATGATGATGTTACTAAGTTGGTGAGGTCGACGACAATGTTCGATTGAACCGCCGGTGAGGAAAAGCAAATCAGCGATGCAGACGGTCATGGGAGAAGCAAATCAGCGATGCAGACGGTCCTCAAGAAGCAAATCTGTGATGCGGTGTCTAAGGAGGAGCTTCAGCGATGGAGGCTGTCCAAAGAGCTTTAGCAATGAACTGTACGAATAGCTTTAGCGGTGCAGCAAAGATGCACAGTGAGGGTTTTAGTTAGTATTTTTATATGGGGGCATTTTGGTCCTTCCAGGTTTATTTGGTATCTTTTATGTCCACACGAAAATTAGGTACCATTATTGTCAATTCCAAAGCCAGTAGTATTATTTTTGTCATTATTCCTTATATTACCATCAATTAAATTGTGATTTGTTATTATTATTCTAATTATTTAATATTTATTTCATATTCTCATTAGTTGTTAGTATTAAAGAAAATTGTAACTTTGTCGTCTTTTTTATACTGCGTATTTGATTGCGACGAAAACTCTTTTTGTCTCTCACTTTTTGGTTATACCTATTACGTTTTGCCCCCGCCAGATGGTTATACTGGATCTGCCCCGAAGAGAGCAAAATGTAATTGCGGGAGAGACAGTTTAAACTTCAATAGAATCGAAGAAGGTTTTCCAATCAAAATGCCGCCATCCCTGCAATCCTTGCCGGATGAACTCAAAATTGAAATCCTGATGAGATTACCAGCAAAATCTCTGATTTGTCTAAGTGGTGTTAGTAAACCATGGCTTTCTTTCCTCGGCGGTTCTGAATTCATCTCTGCACACCTGTATGGAGGAGCTACCAAACAGTTCTTCTTTGCAACTACAACCAATAACAACCGTTGTTTCGCTCTAATCAAAGATGATGACAAAGTTAATGGTGATGTCATGGTACAATTTGGACCATTCATCAAACCTGATCAGCGATTCCAAAATAGGTTTTCAATATCTTTACATCATTGTGCTGTGAAGGGGATCAAAATTGTGGGCAGCTTTGATGGATTGCTTTGCTTAACCTTTACTCATCCAGATTCTCACCCATCAATTATATTATGGAACCCTTGTATTCGAAGACATGTGTTGTTACCACCTCCCTCCAATCACATTCCAAAGAAAGGTGGTAATGCAATTGGATTTTGTGTTGCCAGTGACGGCGATTATAAGATTGTGTGGATCCATGAAAAGCATGAGGATAATGTTATGTCTGTTGAAATCTACTCTCTCAATTCGGGAAAATGGAGGATTAGACGATTCGGTAATGATTTGTTTTCCACGAGGAGGTTGCTTAGTGGTCAAGCTTTTGTAGGAGGTAAGATGCATTGGCTTGGATGTCAATATGATGATACTCGTGATATTTGTTCAATCACTTCATTTCACATAGACGGAGAGGTATTCAGAGACGTACCATTCCCAAATAGATTAAAAGGTATTAACGCGCATGCAAGACTATCTATTGCTGTGGTTGGGGAGTCACTGGGTTTGATAGATTCTCACCCATTTTTTTGTAACATTTGGGTGATGCAAGATTATGGAAATGTCGACTCCTGGACCATGTTATATGACATTGGTATTCAAGATTGTGTGAAAAGGTTACCCTTAGTAGATGCATTAAACTTTTGGAAGAATCCAGGAGTTTCTGCCGGCGCACATCAATTGTTGTCATTCATGGATCATGAGCCTTTTGTGGTGTACGGCCAGTACGGGGAATATGGGAGACCCTATATGCTACACCCGGTTGTATGTACATCCGTGGTCCAATTAACATAAAAGCCCATTAAGAGATCTAGCCCATAACACACCTGGCCCCAATTTTTACCGGGTAATATCGATAACCGAAAAACAGAGCCTGCGATTTAAACATATCAAAAAACGGAAAAGTAACTTCTCTCGAACTACCTTCTGAAATTTCTTTGAAAACGACGCAAGCATTCATACACGCCGTATTAAAGCTCGAAAAACGATGACAGCCTCCAGACAATTGTCAACTTCGCGGAGTTGTTCGTAGAGTTGCAGAGCAACGACAAGTTAAGAACAGAGGAAGAGTTTGAGCAGCAAGTTGTTTCTGTTTGAGCATTGAAGCGAGTGATGGACCTACTATCCGAGTATGAGATGATGAAGAACGCAGATAAGCATGAAACTCCAGAAGGATCAGAGAGGTATGTAATATTATAGTGTTCAAATTTGTATTCAAGTAATGATTCAACAATATACTTGCATGTTTCGAAAATTATAGAAAAAATGAAATGATTTTGACAAATCTGAAGCAGATTATGAATTTGATGCATGATATGTGTTTATTAAGTATATCATTTGAGGTTTTGTTCAAAATACGAAGGTTATTGCTCATTTTACTCTACTTTAGGTCATATGCATTACTAACTAGTTAGAACATGGTGATACTGTAATTAGGTTACTTCTAAGATGATAAAATACTCAATCTGTGGTATACAGTACTCATCTATGAATGGAGTGGTATGTGCTTTAAATTTTCTGTACTTGTTGAATAATATCCTTATGATTCATATGTGTTTATGCTAATTAATCATAATGTGACATTAAAATTGAAGTCATACTCATTATTTGAACACTGTATCAAATGAACAAATAGACATTGTTTCATGAACAATGTGTCATGAAGTGCAGTAGATTTTTTGTTATACAATATACTTGTTCTGTAATTCGTTTGCATGGACATTGTGTGTGTGCTCATAATGTGAGTGTAAGATGCTCAAATTGTAAAACAGTGTGTCACAATTTTATAGTACTGAAAACTGGTGATAATATGTTAGTTATTCATAATGTTAATTTAAAAGTGAACTGATACTCATAAGTTGATTAGTACTTTCAAATAACCATATGGTGTTATGTTTTCTTAAAAAGCTATGAAAAATTTGTTTTAGAATATGCTTGTCATAAACTACATTTACATATAAATATAGTTTGTATAGAATATGCCTGTGATTGAATAGAGTTACAAAATAATATTTTGTGTGCTCATGATTTGATATATATTACTCATTTTAATTAATAATACAGGATTTTAGATCCACGACCTATAAGTGAGATCCCAGTGCTGCGCTCAAATCCAAAAAAGAGAGTAAAAAAGACTTCCAAAGTTCCACAGAAGCAGAAGAAGATGAAACCAAAAGCAATTCCAAAAAAGGAAAAGGCTAATATGGACTTAATAAAACAAATTGAAGCTGAGATAAAGATGAGTGATGAAGAAACAAGGGTTGCAGAAGTAAGGAAGGATAGCACTAAGAAGACTGAGCATGTTGGAGAACAATCTGAGAAACAAGGGAGGGATACTGAGCACCAAGGGAAAGAAACTGAGCACCAAGAGAGGGAAACTGAGGAGCATGTGAATGTTGAAGAAACAAGCAAAGGTGGCAGTAAGATGACTGAGAATGTTGTAGAAGAATCTGAGCACCGAGGGAGTGAACCTGAGCAGCAAGGTATTGAAACTGAGCAACATGATAATGTTGAAGAAACAAGGAATACTAGCAGTAAGACAACTGAGGAGGTTGGAGAAGAATCTGAGCAACAGGGAAGGGAAAATGAGCAACAAGGTAGGGAAATTGAACAAAATCAGATTGTTATAGAAGTACAACAAGGAGCTGCACAGAGAAATAATGAGAAGAAAAGAAAGAGAAATAATGCAGGCTCAATTAAGAAAAGTACAGAACAAGGAAATTCAAGCAAAGAGAAAGAGAGCGAGGAAGTTAGTCCAAAAAGAAGAACTACAAGATCAACAACTTCAGAAGCAACTGAAAAGAAAAATGATGAAGTTCAGAAAAAGAAGAAAGAAGTTCATGCAAAGAAGAAAATAACAAGGGAAGCAGATTCAATAAAAGAGAAGAAGCAGAAGATAAAGAAGAAGAAAGCAGAAGAAGAGGAAGAATTTGAGGAGGACGAAGAGGAGATAGAGAAGGAAGAGAATGCAAAATACCCAAAGCTGTGGACAAGAATGTCTCCGAGTAGTATAACAGAAATAATGAAAAATCTAAGTGCAGAACAAAAGAAAGAGGTGGTTGAGATGGGATTTGGCCCCTTACTGAACCTTGAAGTGAAGCAATTGCCAATGCAGTTGGCATATTGGTTGCTGGACAATTTTGACAGCAGAAGTGTGTCTCTTCTTCTGCCAAACAATGAAAGGTTGAGGATTAATGAAGATGGAGTGCACGTGACATTGGGATTTCCAAAAGGAAAGATTAATGTGAAGAATTTGATTGACACTGAATCTGAGAATACTTCACACATGGTGGCTAATTGGAGATCACAATTTCAGACTGAAAATGGAGTTGTGAAGACTGCTCAAGTGAAGAAGGTTATAGAAGAAAACAAAGCAGGCGGAGTATGGTTTAAAAAGAATTTTTTGGTTCTCCTGGTAACATGTTTGATTGAAGGGAAGCAAAATTGCTTTGCCAATCAAAGCATTCTGAAGGCATTGCAGGATGATTCAAAAATCAAGGATCTGAATTGGTGTGGATACACTTTGGAAACATTAATTGAAGCAAAGGACTATTGGAGCAAAAATAGAGAAAGACAGTTCCCAGGGCCTTTATTATTTCTGATTGTAAGTTACAAATTCTTAATGTTATTGCTCATTTTTACCACACTATTACTCATATCCGCATATACACTACACAATTCTAAAATCTCATAAAATATGTAGGTGTTCTATGTAGACAACATTGTGTTCAAAGGCAGAAAAGTGGACAGAGCATTGCCATCTATTATTGGCTGGACAACACAAAAGCTGAACAAACGACAAAAGGAAGAAATTGAAACTGGAGGTTTTGGATACGGATATATAGATGAACCTAACAAAGGGGAATTGATAGTTCCAAAACTGATCACAAATGAAGAAGAAGCTGAAATCCCGATCGAGGGAAACAGTAATCAGGAGCCAAAGAAGGTAAGGACAGTATTATGTAATTTTAATAGAAACAATTGGGTAAATATATAAATGATAAGTATGATATGTAGATATGAGTATTTAGTACAAAGTAATGAGTGCATTTAAGAAGTTAAATAAAAATAAAGATAATAAATGTGTTAAAAATATATATGCTTCATTCAATTATTTTAGTATAAACTCAATAATAACATAAAGAATGCTCAATTACTGTTCTAAATTAATCATTAAATAACTGCAGGATATTATGAAAGAGTTTGCTGCAGCAGCGAAGAATTTGGCAGAAAGCATGGCCAATTTTGATGAAAAATTTCAACAGGCTGCAAAGGTGTTACCTGATGATGAGACAATGAAGATTTTAATGGGAAAAGTCCATGGGCTTTTCAACACATATTCATCAGAAAAGGAGAAAGAAAAAGAAAATGAAACCGAAGTGTCACTGACTCCAGATGATGGATTCTGGACTGAAGAAGTGCTCAAAGCAGTTGAAGCTATTGAAATGGCTCAGAAGAAAAGAGTTGAGAGGCCAACTTTTACTCAGTATGAAAAGCCAAGCTTCAAGTTGCTTTCACAGGAGTCAAATGATGGGGCGAATACATATGGGGATGATGATGAGCATCATCATGACATAATTGAGCAACATGGCAATGCAATTGAGCATGCAGAGGATGGTCCAAGTGAGCAAATGAATAAGGATAATGACAATGCTGAGGATGTTAATGAGGATGAAGAGGAATCTGAAAAGGAAGAATGTGAAGAAGAAAGAGACAGAAGGTTTAGAAAGGGTAAGCAAGTTGAACAATATCACATTGAACCAAAAGAGAACAAAGTGGAAAGAGAAAAAAGAGAAACAGCCCCAGCACCTGCTGTGAAGTCCCCATTCATGAACAGAAGTATAGATGCAAGGACAACACTTGGCAGTGAGGAAAGACTACTTGCAGGTTTTGTGTTCAATGATCATTGTGACAAGAAGTAAGTCGCTAAGTTTTTCTTAATCATTTCGTTTAATATAATGCACATTTAATATTTGAAGGTTACTCATTCTGATATAATAATTCTTTTCAAACAGTGTTGTGGTGTTCAAGCATTACAACTTCACTCTTTCAAAAGCTCAGATGGAAACAATGAAGAGCAACACAAAAGTTGATGCTGGAATTATAGATATATGGGCAATGTTGCTTAATCATAATGAAAAGTTCAAAAGCCCTGAAGCTAAAAGCAGAATGATTTTCTCAACAAGACCATGTGTAAGAAGTACATATTCATTTACTTAGTATTACTAAAATGAAACTAATATATTATAATATTTAATGACAGCATGTGCTAGATCAAAATCATCTCACCGCTCCACAAACAAGGAACAAAAGGTTTGCGGCAGAAATTGGCAAGGAATTTCCCTGTGCAGATGGAAATAAGTTGAGGTCAACAGACCTATTCATATTCCCAGATGAATACAATGGGTGCTACTATATGATGTGCTTTGACTTGAAGAGCATGAAGTTCTACATCATTGATAGTAGCGACGGAGATATAGCTCCTGCAGTCAAGTACTTGTTTCAAATGTCATACCTGGTAAACGTTTTATATATTTCTTTTTTATTTTATCACATATGGATAAATAATGTGATGATTTAGTATATGAGTAATGTGCACTTGATAATTGAGCAACTACATAGACAATATGTGCATGAACATAAGAATATGTATAATTCTGTTTTTGAAATTTTTAACTACAGAGAAGTGGATTTGTGAAATTTCTTCGAGATCAAAAACACCCAAAGGCAGATAAGGTTGTGAAGCTGAAGGAAGAAGTGGTTAAAATGCATTGGAGAAACAAGAAAAACAAAACCAATGAGGGAGTTTATTTGATGAGGCACATGGAGACATTTTATGGTGACACAGCATGGGAGTGTGGATTAGATAAACAAAGTGTAAGTCCAAAATTGTTTAATATAGTTTTCAAACACAATAATTATGTGAAAACTTGAATATCTAAATTATAATGTTTGTACAGGAAAAACCAATTGAGATGCTGCGGATTAAGTACTTGCATGCAATAGTAACATCTGATAAGAATGAGATCAAGAAGAACATCATGGAACAAGTGAAGAAACACAATGTGTATATCTAGAAGATTTGTAATGCTATTGATGATTGTGGGCGTTGATGAACATATTGTTGTTTTTTAATTCATGCTAAACAATATTAGTATTTGGGACATATGATATTACTATTAAGCTTGGATGACAGTAGTCATGTTAGTAATATTAAATAAGGACATATGCTTATGGGAAGTTCATATTATTGATCATTATTAGTAAGTTCTATGCTCATTTCCTTACTTACTTATACACATTTTAAGGTATTAATGATAATTACTAGTAAGTACTATTCTCAATTCATTTATTACTTATACAAAATTTTAAGGAGTGAGCTTTTAAATTTAAATTCTTTGAGTGTGAAAGTAAGACAATGTATTAATTCATTAAATAAACAGTGCGGGGTGTTTTTTCCAATTATTCGTAATGTATTTATAATGGTATGAGTCTTCACTACGAAATGAAATAGATAATTTAAAGTTTTTTTGGGAAAAATATGTATATATTTGTGTTCATTGCGAAATAGTAATTATACACATTCATGATGATTGTAATATTGATTGCTGACATCTGTATTTATGAAGTTTATATTAATACTCATTATTAGTAGCGTAAATGCTCATTTAATTAATTAGTATACACAATTTGAAGACTAATCAATTGAATTTTAGAACATTAAGTATGAAATTACGTTATACAAATTTTCTTATAAAAATTATATTTAATTTGAAATAGTAAACACATAATTTAGTGAGTCTTGCATTCAAAATGCATTAACTAAAAAATTATATTTACTTCTATACTCATTTTGTTAACACGTGGTACTCATTATAGCACAAACAATTACTCAAAAGAAGATTAGATCAGCGGAATGTATGATTACAAAAAAGTAAAAACTACAACAAAAACATAGAGGAACAAAATGTAAAGTCTAAAAGTGAAAACAACTGAAACTAAAATGATGATAAAAGATAAAAGATGTTATTTTTTGAATAATATAATAAGTATGTAAATAAAAAACAAAGCTTTTAAGAATGTTTACACATTTCAAGGTTCAATATTCGAAGTACTAGCTGCAGTTGACTTGTTCCTTCCTTGGAAGTTAAGGTTCATATTTCAGAGAACATTTATAATATTCCAAAGCGTAATTTTAAATGATTAACATACAGCTACGGTCTGAGCATCAACACAAAAATGTTGAGTAATAAAAAAACCTGACACCAGTCATTAGTAAACTAGTGAATATAACAGTATTACTACATAGCTATTGGAAAAATCAAACTACAAATTTGCTTGATCAGTTTCAGATGTACTAGCTTGGCGTGACTTCTTCTTTGCTCTAGCTTGATTTGTTTTGATTTCAATAAGACTCTTGCGACGAACATTTCTTTCACCCTTCTTCCTTGAAGACTTTGGATTAGATATTGCTGAACCCAAACCAACTGTAGAAGATTCACTATCTGAAAAGTAAATACTTCCAACTTGCTCTTCAACATCCACTTTCAACTTTGTAAAAGATTCTTCACAAAAATGCCTTGCTGCAGAATTAGAATCACTAGAGCACAAAAGCTTGTGAAATTTCTTTTGCATTTGCATTCTCCAAACAGAAGGTAAAACATTAGAAGTCCCAGATGAGGCATATATTTGTTCAGTTGGAACACACTTTGCACTACGCGTCCAACGTTTCAGAACATAACAATCCGGTATAACTTCTACACATTGAATATGATATATACGAAGAATATGACAACACAAAATACCAACTTCTGAGAATTTCTCACATGAACATTTAACAAAATGTGTTGTCATATCAAAAGAAACCCAATGTGAAAATATATCTATTTGAGGCATCCATACCAAATATGACATCAAAGAACCTTGTTGATGTCTAAGTTCATATTTCAGGGACATACCTCGTAGAAATTCTTTCTCAAACAGTTTATACGCATCAATCGTGTAGACCTTGGAGGCTTTATGTAACAAACCAACAAAAGGAATGGCAATTTCCGGAAAACCATCCCAACAACGTTGCTGATCTTTACCCTCATTACTTCTCCATTGACTCACACTTTCACTAAAAAAATGGTAGAAGTCACAAAGACACGAGTTTGCATTCAGTTTTCTAGATATTGAGTTATTCGTGGACTCGCTTCGTTGTGAAGACAAAATTCCAGCAGAAAAGAACTGCTTGGAAAAAGCTGGACACCATTTCTCTCTCATCTCGTACAGTTTGGTCAACCAAGGATTATCAGAACAATTGTATTCACAAACCATCCTGCAAAATATGAAGCAAAATACTCATTTAAAAAACACTATTACTCATTACAGATAAGCAGTTTGCTCAACAAGAAGGTATACTGTAAATGCAGAAAACATAAAAGGAAGTATACGGACAATGAAAAATACCTATTCCAATAATGATCAAACTCTGCAACAGTCTGACAGAGTTGCAAAACATGATCAAATAAAGCCAAAAAGCCTTCGTCATTCCTCAAATCTCGTATATGTTTTTTAGAATTTTCAATTATGTGCCATATACAAAGACGATGCCTTGAAGAAGGAAAGACTTTAACTATTGCAGCAGACATGGCGGATGACTGATCTGTCATAATAGTTTTCGGATGCACAAAATCCATTGAATTCAGAAAAGTAGTGAAAAGCCATTCAAAAGATTCAATTCTTTCATTGAGAAGAAATCCACAACCAAACATGCATGTATGGGTGTGATGGTTAATTCCTACAAACGGTCCACATATCATATCGTATTTATTAGTACGATAGGTCGTATCATGAATAACTAGCTCACCAAAAGATAGATAATCTTCCTTCATTTTTTTATCTCTCCAAAAGAAACTGACTAAAGAACCATCCACATCTATCTCAAAAGAGAAGAAGAAATCTTCTTCATTTGACTGCCTATTCTTAAAGATGTTAATCAGGGTATTGGCATCAGAACCATCAAAAGATTTCTTGACCTGTTTTGTCAATTCGTTATATGCATCACGCAAGAGAAAACCAACCGAAGGAGATCCACCTGCTTCCGCTTGCAAACATCGAAATCCATCAGCTATCTTGACTCCTTGTTTTTTCAAATGATGCAAGTAATCTAACTCATTAGAAGAAATAGAACGATGAGATCTAACGTGATGAACTAATGAGTTTGGACAAAACTGATGATTATGGTCCATAAGGTGTCTGACAACAACCCACTCACCGCTAGATTTTATCTCAAAATAAATTCGTGCCTTACAATTAGTACGAATGTCAACTTTTGTGAATTGCTTCCCAACAACGCCTTTATTTTTTTGGGAAAATGGAAACTAATAATCCAACCTTTTAGCGGTCTTCTTTCAATAATCCCACCTTTTGATTATTCATGAATAATCCAACCTTTGCACCTCATCTTCATTCATTGGTCCCTGGTCGGTTAATGACCTACTATTCCAAGTTATTTTCTTATCTTTCCAAAATATTATCTTTGTGAAAGATGAGATTTATGGTATAATGATTTGCAAAGATAAGAAAATAGCTTGGAATAGCAGGTCATCAACCGGTCAGGGACCAGTGAATGAAGATGAGGTGCAAAGGTTGGATTATTCATAAATAATCAAAAGGTGGGATTATTGAAAGAAGACCGCTAAAAGGTTGGATTATTAGTTTCCATTTTCCCTATTTTTTTTAAGCCTTGTTTAGTGCAGCAGAACTCCCTTCCCCTAAAGCCAGAACCACCATCCCTCTTTCTCAAAGTAGAGTACCTAACTCCAAAACCAATCCGAAAAGCATAATCATTATACAATTGAAATGCTTCTTCCTCTGAAAATACAGTTGTACCAAGCAACTCAGAAAATTCAGCTTCCTTCACTGATATGGTTTCAACAGAAACAGGATCATGACAAACTTGTACAGTCTCAAAACTAGATGAACGTTCAGCTGCAATAAATAAATAAAGGTAAAATAAACTAAAGATATAAAATTCAAGTAAAAGAAAGGGAAACAATGTACGTAAGAAATGAGCAATACTTGGTCCGAAAGAAAGAGATTCTGTTGCACAAACAAGATTTTGGTCTTCACTGAAATTAACAGCAGAATCCAAGAAATCTAGATGAATGGAAAAACATTACAAGAACATCACAAAACAAAATTCAAAATATAAACAGATTGATTAAAGAAGAACAAAATGTATGAGTTGCAATTAGAAAGTATATTACTGGATTGAATGCCAACAATTCCGCCTCCAGAATCTATATCCTCAATTAATCTTCCACGGGGAGAAATACAATCTGCACAGAGTAAAAACAAAACAAACAAAACAAATGTAAACTCAAAACTGATCAACTAAATACTCAAAACATATCAACTAATGTAATGAATTAGTTCATAGAATAAGTACCTCCAAAATCAGCCATATGGTCGATAAGAATCTAAAACAGAAAAAAATTGAACTGAAACAACTTATAATAGTTATAACAGTAGCGACAACGTATAACAATACAACCAAAAAATAAGTTGAGTAAAAATAAAGATGATTACAGGAAAAGATAACTTCGATGAAACAAAAAAGAATTTGAAACGAAAGAAGGAAAAAACATATAAATGTAAAACGGCAAAGAAAACTACTTACCTAAATCGATCAGTGAAGTAAAATCGAAACTACGAATGGAGAAAGCTGCAGAAGAAAACCGGGAAGATCAATAACAAATAAACAGAAGAAGGACCGGAAGAACCGATCGAAGAACAAAATCTATGGCATTGCTACTAAGAAGCAATCCGCGGAAGAAGATGAAAGCTGCGAGACGACGACCAAAGGGAAAAAGCGAACAAAGGGAAAAAGAAGAAATAAAGAGGATAGAAGTTGCAGTTTATTACAAAATTACCTGGCTGTACCAAGAGGAAGGTACAGCCGGGTGTACCATATAAATTGCGGGGAATATGGTTATGATATATTTCAGTATGTAGCTAATTACGTGGAAAGCCTTGTTTTGCTGGGACACAAAGATGCTGTTGCGGATGTGCATTTGCTTCAGGCAGTTTCTGGTGTAGATTAATGTTATTTATTTTTCTATTTTTGCTGAAATCCAAGATATGTCAAGGCAACATGATAGATATGCAATCTGACTTTAGTGTTTCTCTTCTTATTTTTATCATAGTTATTGACTTGCCGCTATTGATTTGATCATATTTTTCTCTTAACCAAGTTCATAAATATTTTTTCATGTGTTTCTACTCCTTAATATTTGGATTTAGGGCACGAGGCGGGGAAAAATGGAGGTGATGGACAACAAAACTAGGGAAGGTTTAACAAACTTCTGCCTTGTTTGCATACTTTATCATTTGATATAAAAAATGAATTTTGAAATATTTAGTCCATTTGTACTACAATAGTACAATCACACTCCCGTTGTCCCAATATAACTTACATAGTTACTTTTTAAAAAAGCCGGCACTTACTAAAGGAGTGTTTGCTATAACTTTAAATAAGTACTTCTAAACTTTTAGATTAAAAAAAGATAAAAATGTGTTTGCAAATCCCAACTTCTAATTAAAAAAAGTGCTTTAAAGTTAAAAGCTAGAATCTTGAATCTACCGGCTTCTAACTGCTTCTTGGTATACTTGTAAATAACTCAAACTTTATGGATAATAATAATGATAACAAAATCTCTAGACCCGCAACTTTTTACATTAGGGAAAACTGTCAAATAGGTCCTCGAACTTTCATAAAAAAGTCAATTAAGTCCTTCTATAGGAGACTCTGTCCGATCGTCGCGATTTGGGGCTGTTCCCGGTGGAATTTTTTGATGAAATTTTTTGAGCATCTTATTAATCAAGTCTAGTTTACTCATACCAAATTTCAGCTAAAAATTTAATCGGGAGCGCATTCAAATTAATTCGAGAACGCAAAAATGCGCAGTTATCTTCAAGAATTAATTTGAATGTGTTCCCAATTGAATTTTTAGCTGAAATTTGGTATGAGTAAACTAGACTTGGTGAATAAGATGCTCAAAAAATTTCATCGAAAAATTCCACCGGAAACTGTCCCAAATCACGTTGTCCGGACAGAATCTTCTATAGAAGGACTTAATTGACCTTTTTATGAAAGTTGGAGGACTTATTTGACAGTTTTCCCTTTTACATTACAATCACTCCAACTTTTACATTTTAATTAAAATCACTTCTATTCCCAAACACTACCTACTTTTACTATAAATAACTTTTTCAATAATATCTTTAAAAAATCACTTTTAAAAAAGCACAAGCAATTGCAAACACTCTCCAAGTAATACCCCGTAGTGTGACAAAATGTCATTTTTATCTCTATGATAAAAGTTTTACGTCATTACATAAAAGGCTTCCTATATCTCTAGAGGCCATATATCGTTTAATTAGAAAAAGTTACTATGCACATGCTAGAATACAAAATGTGTATCGAGTATCGACTTCTTAAAGAAGAATAAATTTGGGGCAAACTCTATTGGCTAAAAATAAGAATAGTTTAGGGCGGATAACTTAAAAAAGTTAAATCTAAATCAACATGACATGGTTTTAATTTGGAAATTGTATCATCCACCTTAATTATTCATTGAAAATTGAGTTTGCACCGTCTTTAAAATCAATAATATATGCATCCTAAAAATTAAAGTTTATATCTTATTTTTTGTTCCAATTTGAAGATTCTGCCCTGCTGGCTGCTGCCCTATTTTGGCACCTGCATTGATTTTTGGGGTGAAAAATTAATGTTGTTTTTAGAATGGGGTGCAAACTCAAATTTGGATTAAAAAAGGGTGTCCAATGTCCTAGTCTACCATCCTAATGCTATTTGGGACAGTTGTAGTATTAACCGCCACAGATGTTGTGGATTTATTATCCTGGGTTATACAGTTTCATGCGAATTAGTGCCATTGAAATGAATGATTACCGTTGCTACATAGTTTGTTTCTCTCTTATGTTGCTTAAATGCTTCAAATTACATCTTTGGGGTTCTTATATCCCACAACACAAACTTTTTGGGTCGTTGTTCCTTTTGTTTATATATATTGTTTGCTTAGCCTTGATGTAGCTTTAATCTGTGTGCATCTGTGAGTATCTTCATTTTGGGATGATTACTTGTACTTTGCATCTTTTTCTTGAAATTAAAAATATTAAAGCAAGACCTTTGGTCTGTAGTACCTTGACCCCGTGTCTAGAATGCAGAATAGAGCTTTTCCTATGCTAGTTGCAGAGTTGACCTCAGATAGTCCATCCCGTGGTGTCAATACTGCATGCATTTTACTGATAAGTCTGAAATCATATTTCATTTCTTATGACCTCAAATGGTTAAGCTTAAATATATCTGTAAATAGTTAATTAAGACATGGCTGACAATTTTCGATTATTTTTAATATTGTTTTATTGTGCTTTATGCGTTCGGGACTTTCTGAAGGCAGACATGGTATATAAATGTAATTGAACCAGATGTGATATTGTCATGTTATGTGGTTTAATGGTGTTTCCTTTGGATTTCAAAGTTGTTTTCTTCATTCCAGCTGCCAGAACATGTTTTGTTTTTTTGCAACAATGGTGAACAGTATACTTGTACCAGATCGATTTGTAATGATATCAGGAGGTTTCACCAAATTTACCCTGTACTGTGTTGATGTCTTGCAGCTAATTGAAGTTGATATTAATGGTACCATAAGCAGCTTTTTGTGTGTTTGGAAAATGACATCAAAGTGATTGAAATGGAGATTTTGTATTGTTATAACATCAAATTGAAGTATTGGAGTATGTTTGGATGCAACATTTTTCCTGGTGGAGCAACACGTATTTGCAAAAGTATTATGGAGTAGTAAAATTTCCGGTAATGCCTTAGAATGGGGAAATGAAAATAACTGTAAACCATTATAGAACCACTCAACCACCTTGTATTGAGGATGGGATAATGATTTTTGTAACTGCTACTCCCTCCGGTCCCTATTAAAGTTCTCAGTTTGACTTCACACAGATTAAGAAAATAAATTTGACTTTACTGTGGAGTGCACTGTTTGGACACTGTTTGACACTGTTTTGCACTGTTTTATTTCCTAAAAGGGAAGTGTGAATTTAAATAAGGGACAACCCAAAAAGGAAAGTGTGAACTTTAATAAGGACCGGAGGGAGTACTATACAAGGCTTCAATTGATTGGCTCTTGTATGTCATTAAAAATTGGTGGAATTATATACTTCGTATTATAGACGACTGTTTTTTAGCTCTTTCTTGGATACGACTATGTGAAATTGGTGGAATTATATACTTTGTATTTTCGTATTATAGACGACTGTTTTTTAGCTCTCTCTTGGATACGACGATGTGAAATTGGTAGAATTATATACTTCGTATTATAGACGACTGTTTTTTAGCTCTCTCTTGAATACAACTATGCGAAATTGGTGGAATTTTATACTTCGTATTATAGACGACTGTTTTTTAGCTCTCTCTTGGATACGACGATATGAAATTGGTGGAATTATATACTTTGTATTATAGACGACTGTTTTTTTAGCTCTCTCTTGGATACGACTATGTGAAATTGGTGGAATTATATACTTCGTATTATAGACGACTGTTTTTTAGCTCTCTCTTGGATACGACTATGTGCAGCTTAAAGTGGAGACGTTCTAACACTAATATACTTATTACTAATTTACAAAAAGTTATTCCTAACATAAGTCAATCTTCATACACAAGACAGAAAGCCCTAAGATTAGATGGAAAGTGTATTACACTATCACTTCAGCCATTATGATGTCTAGCAATGGTTACAAGTAGGCATGGACCGGGCCCGGTTCGGGCCTAGGCCCGGCCGGGCGTCGGAGTTCTGGAATTAAGCCCGAGACCAGCCCGTGTTGTGACCGGCGCCGGTTCGGGCCGGGCCACCCTTCCGGGTCACGGGTCGGGCCACCCGCCGGGCCGGGTCAGTCATATATATATATATATATATATATATATATATATATATATATATATATATATATATATATATATATATATATATATATATATATATATATATATATATATATATAGGAAAATCTTCCGGTAAGGTATACCTTAAGGAAAATCTTGTGCACTTTTTTTTTGTACCGTATTACATTTTTGTGCTCTACGTGTGCACTTTTTGACTATTCAAATGCACATTTGTCACAATATTTTCAATAAAAGTTTTTCATAATTACAACTATGCCACCGCATTTCCTACCTCAAAATTGATCTTTTCCATCCATTTCTTCACACCAACGGCCAAGATTAGTTCTTATTTTTCACCTAGGAAGCACTTTTTATTTGATCCATACTCTCTCTCTCTCTCTCTCTCTCTCTATATATATATATATATATATATATCTACTAATTTATACAAGTGCGGCATATTAAAAACCAAGTTCAAGTGCATTTATTTGAAATAGGAACTACATTTGAGAATTGAGAAAAAAATTACAACATGAAATACATTAAAATACGTTGTAACCAATTAATTAATTAGAGAAGTGCTACATCACAACCAGGTTCTGCCCCGCCAATGGAACATCATGGCAACATGCTGCTGTGCTGGAACATCCTGCCGCTGCATTACAACCAGGTTCTGCCCCGCCAGTGGAACATCATGGAAATAAAACCATAACAAAAATGGAGGAATAGAAAAAGAAAGGGTGAATCAAATGAGAAGTATAAAAGACGGCTTGGAAGAATGATTGGAATGAAGGTAAAATAATCTTGTGGTAGCTACTGCACTTGATAATGAGTGGGTTCTAGCACTAGAAGGAAGTTATCTTTTGCTTTTCTTGGATGGGGAAGCTATGGCTTCTTTTGATGGGATGGACTTTTAATAATTAGCTTTATTTAATTAGAGATTTTGTGAAGTGGGAGCTATCCCATTATTTTGATGGATTATATCTAGGTTACTTTATTCTAGCTTAGATAGTCATTTTGATTTGGATTTGATGCATTGTAAAATGCTATTTTTGGGTGGCTTATATATACTTACATTTCATCCAAAAAAACTATCACCTTCTCTACTCTTAAACTTAACTTTCATACTAATGTTTTTTCTCTTTCTTTCTTACTTTTTTTACTGTTAAATTAATAGTTTAGAAAAGCAGAAAAACACCCATTACATCTTTGAGAAAGTTGTTCAAGTGCTCATGCAAAACTCAAAAAGTGGAAATGATCTTCTATTTGCTTAAGGTAAGTATGAATGGATCCCTTTGAGGTATAATCAATATACTTCATTTGTAACTTTTGGTCTGACACCAAGACCCGTTGCCTCCTCATTTTTTGCTTTGTCCTGAACCATACTCTCACCAACTGGGCCACTTGTGGCACCTCTGCACCGTTATCCAAGTCTCCTTCTTTGGTGACGCTATTATTAGAACCAGGTGTAGACTCTCGCCCTCCATTTCCCCAGTACCTTCACCCTCTTGTCCAGCTCTCCTATGTTGTCTGACCCCCCTTGAACCTGAGGAATTCTCCACTAGCCACTTGTTGCACCCTGTCGGCCTAGTCTTCCCACCACCACCTGCTCGAAGTTCTACCCCAAAAGACTTTTCCAACACTATATCCTCCTTTATTTCAAGAGACAGAATTTATCAGAATGTCCAATCACCTCGCAGATAAAGCAAAAATTAGGCAATTTTTCATATTTAAAATCCAGGCAATGTCCAATACCCCCTCGTAAGGGTAGAACCTTTTTTCAGAGGCTTCCTTCCGTCCATTCCACCCTAACCCTCAAATATGACTCCCACTTTTCATCAAAATGGCTCTCATCAAAACTAATAAACTCACCAATATAGTTCCCAACCCTTCTAGCAGTACCTTTATTCATAAAATTATAAGGAACATTGGGCACTTGCACCCCGAACTCAGTTTCACACAAATTCATCTTATGGGGAAATCATTTGGTCCAACCATCTTAAGTAGTAATAAATTTCTATCAAACAATCATGGACCATTTTCAAGAACACGATTCATATCCATAATATGATAAAACGTAAACAAATACCTTTTATCATCTATCAAACAATCATGGACCATTTTCAAGAACACGATTCATATCCATAATATGATAAAACATAAACAAATACCTTTTATCATCTATCTCTTTGATTGACACCCTTTTACCTGGCCACCAAATTGAAGCCATCAGATCCTTAAAGGGCTAAAACTTGATTTTCCGATCTGTAAGAATGACTCCCACCACCGGAAATTCAGCCCCTTTTCGGTTGTATCAAAGTCTCCGGCATCCTCATCATCAAAATTCAAATTGTTGTTTTCCTCCCCAATAGCCATCTTTTTATATTGATGCACAACCTCCTCCATTGGCCTAAACGAAGCTTGAATTTGGGATGCTACCGCGACTGCTGCCAAAACCCGTCCTCTGAATCAGCCTTCGTATTGGCAGAACTACAATTAATTGATTAGTAGTAAAACTCATTATTCAAAGAAAATGATCAAGGTGAAAGCTAGGGGATGGAACTCTGTGCAAAGTTGATTTGCCTTTCCTATGCCCTCAAGAGCGGAGAGACTCAGATTAAGGTATACCTTTTCAGGTTCTACATGTACAAACTTATACTTCCTCCGTTCTTTTTTGTTGCAACGGTCAACACTTGTCAACACATGTCTTTGGCCGTAATTATATCTTAATCTCTATTAGTAAAAGAAATTAAAAAACAGATTTTGAAAATTTGTAATGAGATGAATTGAACAATATTTTTTTCAAAAAATATTTTTTGTAAAATAATAGCGTAAAATGTAGTCAAAGTAGAACATGTGAATAGTGTAAAATTCAACATGTTGCGATTAAAAAAAGGAGGATAGTATATTTTAGAATTATAAATTCCAATTTATATACTTTTTAAGAATTATGCCTATATTTATAGGCCTTTTTATTCCAATATTACTAAAAATAGGATAAAAGATAAAAAAGTTACCTGTTTTTAAAAATTCCAAAAATGTGACCAACATCACAATTAATCCCTGCAGTGTAAAGTGACTCCGGGTAAAGTGACTCCAGCCAAAGTGACCCCACCGACCACAGTGGCTGCCGCACCGACCACAGTGACTGCCCCGCCGACCACAGTGACTGCTCCGCCGCCACAGTGACTGCCCCGCCGCCACAGTGACTGCCCCGCCGCCACAGTGACTGCCCCGCCGCCACAGTGACTGCCCCGCCGCCACAGTGACTGCCCCGCCGCCACAGTGACTGCCTCGCCGCCACAGTGACTCCGACCACAGTGACTCCAGCCAAAGTGACACTCGATTCTGACCACAGCGACACGCGATTCCGACCACAACGACACCTGATTCCGACCACGGTGACACCCGATTCCGACAATTACAATCAAACCATATATTTCAAATAAATCTGCCCACCCAGACATGGCTAGTGACGACCGCAGTCCGGCCGGTGACCACCGCCGGCCGTCCGGTGTCCACAGTCGCCCTTGTACAACCTGTGTCCCCTCCCCCATCATGGTCCTTGTACAACCTGTGTCACCACAATACCACCAGCCCTTCCTCTGTCAACCATTACCCCACTGTCGTTCAACCATTGACCACCTTCGTAACTCACTCCTGCCGAATTAAAGGACATTGAACGTCTGGTCTTCATCCCTAGACTGCCCATACCGCTATCCTCCGGCCTTCCCTACCCTACGAACTCACTCCCGCCGTTCAACACCAATCACCCACAACGTTCATTCCCAAACCCCAATCATCACTCGCCCAACCTCCAGCCTATCATCACCAGCACAAATCTCAGCCACGGCCAAGAGATCTGAGCACCAGGCAGCAAATCTCAGCCCCAACCCCAGCCCATCACCACCGTCTCAACCCTAGCCGCCGTTCACCGCCTTCCTTTCACCTCAGATATGAAAAAACGAGAAGAAGAAGAAGAATAGAAGCTGGCGGCGAGCGAACAGATCTCAGCCCAGTCCCACTGCCTTGCTGCGCGAAGAAGAAGATCTCGGAGATTCGGTGGCGGGGATGCCGATACCACCGGAGAAGGTGCTGATATAGAAACGACCGGAGGCGACGAAGGTGATGAAACGTTTAGCGAGCGGCGGCGACCTGGGAAGATGGCGGTGCGATGCCGGCAGAGGCGGCCGCCAGAAGGTGGAGCCGGTGACCTGGGTGAAGGCGATGAAGACTTCGGTGACATGGGTGAGCCGGTGACCTGGCAGACTTCGAGTCCTCTTCGAGCAGCGCGCAGGCTTGGAGTAGGGACGATGAAGACGAACAGAAAAGAGAATGGTGCCTGGGTCACATTTTTAGAAAAAGAAAAAAGGGGTTATATTTTTAGAATTTGAAAATCCATTTGTCATAAACTGGCAATTATTTCTTTCCTTTTTGGGACGGTCTAAAATAAACTTCACACTTCCTTATTTCCTTTTTTGGCAAAGAAATCTACATCAAAACAGTGTCAAACAGTGCTCAACAGTGTCTCAACAGTGTCAAACAGTGTCAAACAGTGTCTCAACAGTGTACACTACAGTAAAGTCAAATTTCTTTCCTTATTTTGTGTGAAGTCAAAGTGTGAAGTTTAATAAAAACCGGAGGTAGTATGACAATAGCATTACATATATACATTTTAGATTAATTATTGAACTTTTTATTAGTTATTTAGCATATGTTAAGGATGTTTCTCTTGTCTTTGTCTCATTTTACATTTTTCACCCGTTCAATTATGTTTTTGAGTCATGCTATATTTGGTAATATATGAGTTGTTGTACTTCATTTTTACTTTATTTACATTTTACAAATTTAATATTAATCACACAAGTTTAATATTAGCATTAACTTCATCATTGTCTTTTGTCTCAATTTTAGTTCGGGTAATACTAAATAAAACATGTGGGTAAACTTTTTTTGAGGAAGAAATAGACTTAAATTGATAACACAACATTCAAATAATAGGTAATCCGACAAAAGTATTCATGACAATCGCCGACCCTCGAACCAAACTCAGAGCTTATCACCTCGACATAAGCAATATAACTCACTGATCCATTAATGGGCGCAATTGATAGAAAATAATTGGCCGGAAAATCCAGTCCCACTCACCCTTTCTTCCGACTCCTAATTACAAATAGAAAACAATTGGCCGAAAAATCCAGTCCCGCTCCTCGGCACAGGCCGATAGCGGACGAACGAACTCGTGGTTGGCCTTGCCGCAACCGTAGAGAGGTAAAACAATATCCGTAGATACGAAGTTTTTAACATGTGGGCAAACTTGTGACTGAACTATATTTTATAATCATTTTGATGTAATGTTTTAACATAATTACAATTACAATTATTAAAATTATTAACACATACTTCGTATTTTATCAACTACATTTAATTTGATGATGTGTAAGCTTTTTTTAATTTACTGGGGTTGTTTGGGTAAAGACGTTTTAATCAAAACGTTGCTTTTATACTTGCAACGTATGAGTTCGTATATCGTGGGAGCAGCCCACTGTGAGCATGCTGCTCCCACTCAAAAACGCGTGCTACTGTTCACGCAGGTGAACAATAACTTCTATTTTTATTTTTTCATTGTATAGTAACAGACTGATGTAACTCGTGTGTAAAAAATGTAACTCTCATTAATAAGAAATGTAACTGCAAGCAAGTCGAAATGTAACTTGTCTAATACGGATTATAAGAAATAAAACATTGATTTTAATGAAACAAAGAGTCTAATTGCTCAATTACTTTACGTAAATATTGGATATGTTTTGTTTTTATTATTAATGTCGTAAATAATATTTGTTTCTTTAAAATCACAATTTTTTTGGCCAAAATATCATTTTTTTTCGCAAAAAAATCATTTTTCTTTTGCAAAAAGTGATTTTTTGTTTGTTTCAATAGCAGGAGTTTACTTAAATAGTGAATATGATACGTTTTTAATATTAAGGTCATAAAAATATTTTTTTAAATCACTTTTTTTTTGTCAAAGCAATCATTTTTTGCCAAAAAAAATCTTTGAAAAAAAAAACGATTCTTTTGTTTCAATAGCAGCGCTTTATGTTGTGATGGAAAATTTAACTCGCGTTGATGAAAAATTTACCTTAGGTGTATACAAAATGTAACTTGTTAGGACAAGTCTAAATGCAACTCGCGCGTATGAAGATGTAACTCACGCATAAAAAAGATGTAACTCGAGTATATGAAGATGTAACTCCATATACTATCAAAGCTAATTAATGAAGACATGGAGTCTAATTGCTCAAATTAATTTACGTAAATAGTTAATATGTTTTGTTTTTAGTATTAAGGCCATAAAATGTTTCAAAGAAAAATAATTTTTTTAACCAAAAAATTTGCCAAAAAATCATTTTTTGTTTCAATAATTGGAGTTTATTTTGTGATGTAACTCGCGTTATGTAAAAATGTAACTCGAGTTGATAAAGAATCTAACTTAGGTGTATGCAAAATGTAGCATGTTGAAGCAACTCCAAATGTAACGTTCGCATAGGAAGATGTAACTCACATATAATAAGATGTAACTCACGAATAAGAATATGTAACTCGCGCATAAGAAGATATAATTTGTGTATAAGAAGATGTAACTATATATAATATCAAATGTAACTCTAAGAATCATTTATACATGTAATATCATAATTTATTAAATGTAAATCGAAAAAGTGAATTAATATGAAGATATAATTTATCAAATACAGAGAAGTGTATGAATACAAAAAATATATTTTAGGAAAAAAGTTTATGAATATGAAAAATTATATTAAAAAATGTATGAATATAAAATATATTATAGAAAATACATAGTGTATGAATATGAATGCAATATACTTATTTTATTTACATTCATAAATATTTTTAAAATACAATTTATTTGTTATGAAATGGTAAAGAATAAAAAATGGATTAATTGTTATTAAAGGTGAAGATAAAGAAAAATAAAAATATAATTAAAATTTTAATATTTTGTTAGAGAAGGAGACAAAAATGAAAATATGAAAAATAAAGCAAAAGTCTTTTTTAATAATTAAATATGGTTACTGAGAATTGAGAAGGATGACAATTCATTATGAGAATTAATTGCAAAGAGAAACATAAGAGTTACTACACTAGTGCTGAGAGAAAAATGAAGAGTTACGAAACGGGGAAAAGTGGGATCGGTACATAGAATTGCAATTACAGAGTAAAAGTTGAAGTATTTGGATTTACATCTCGGGTTTTTTTTGGAATTTGAATGGGTGGTTTCAGACTGATAATTCGAAGCGTTCGGAATCACAAAGTTCGGTAATTACGCCGGTTTTCCGATCGAAATGCCGCCATCGCTGCCATCCTTGCCGGTTGAACTCAAAATTGAAATCCTCACCAGATTACCCGTCAAGTCTGTGATGCGTTTCACTGCAGTAAGTAAGTCATGGCTTTCTCTCTTGTCGGATCCCGGATTCGTCTCAGCACACCTGTCTAAAGGAGCTACCGAACAGTTCTTCTGTGTAACTAAGACCGACCTGAATACTCGTCGTTTTGCTCTTATCGATGGAGATAATCTCGACGGCAATCTCACGCTAGGACCAATCGTCAAACCTGTAAGGGAATTCCCGCTTACGTTTTCTCGTTTTTTCAATCCAAAGAATTCTGCACAGATTGAATTAGTGGGCAGCTTCGACGGATTGCTTTGCTTATGCTTTCTCCGTCCAGATTCTCACCCGTTAATTATGCTATGGAACCCTTCAATTCGAAGACACTTGGTGTTACCACGTCCCTCCATTCTTCCTCCTCCAAGGAAAGGTAGTCATGCAATCGGTTTTTGTGTGGCCAGCGATCGCGATTATAGGGTTGTGTGGGTCCATGAGAAGAATATGGATAATCCTATGTCTGTTGAAATCTACTCTCTTAATTCAGGGAAGTGGCGGATTCGACGATTCGATGATGATTTGTTTCCTACTAGGTGGTTGTATAGTGGTCAGGCTATCCTACATGGTAGGATGCATTGGGTTGGATTTGATGAGGATCTTGGGGATGACTACATATACTTTAGTCATTCAATCACTTCATTTGACATAGATGAAGAGATATTTAGAGACATACCCGTCCCGAGAAAGTTAGCATATTCTCTATGGGATGAAAAAATAAGTATTGCTCTAGTTAGAGAGTCACTGGGTATGATGGTTTTGTATGATCCTTTTAATTGTGACATTTGGGTGATGCAAGATTATGGAAATGTTGACTCCTGGACTTGGTTATATAAAATTGATTTCACACCAACATATAATGATTGGCCGATACCTATAGTATACGCATTAAACACTTGGAAGAATGAAGGGGTTTTTTCTGGATCACGTCAAGTCATATATTATGTGGATGATAAGCCGTGCATTGTGCCGGATGGGGAATATGGTGACCATCATCTTTACTATGTAACTAAGTATTTGGAGAGCCTTGTTTTGCTTGGAAACAAAGATGCTGTTGCAGATGTGCATTTGCTTCAGGATGTTGCAGGTGTGAAATAATGTGTAAAGGTTTTCTTGTTTCATCAAATCCAATTTGGTTGAGCCAACAAATTTTGTTGGCTTGAGTGATTCTCCTTGTGTTATTTTTATGTATTCCTTTCAGGGATCATGGAAGAGGAGAATGCTGGTGGTGGACAAGCAATATAGCCAAGGTTTTACAAACCATTGGCTTGTTTCTTTCAGGGAAAAAGGTTAATCATTTTATATCAAGAATGAAATTTTGAAATATGTAGTCCATTCTTAGCAAAACAATACTCCCATCAGGGACGGCGCCAAGCATGGAGTTGTGGTGTCAATTGACACCACTCAATTTTTTTTATTTGTATATATGTATTGAAAATTTAAAGAATGAAACTATAGTTTTTAAAAATAAGATCAATATATAAGAAATGACATCACATATTCTCAACGTCTACTCTCTTTATCTAACATTCTTTTAAGTTTGATTGAAACAAAAATCAATAGAATAAGAACTATTTTTTTTGACAAATTTGAACAGTATTAGCAGTTAAATGGTTATTTTATACGTAGTATACGAAGTAATACTTTAGTATATATACTCCATATATTTCTTTGTGTTGATTTAGTTGATGTATAAATACTAAACATGAATTCAATATTATTGAATGATTGAGTAAAATGAACACGAGAAATTTAATTGATACCGATGTTCTAAGTAATTCCCACAAAACTATAAAGGGGTCGTATTTTTAAGAGTTAAAATATAAAAATTACTTATGTATTAATATTTTTATGCTTTATTGTTTTTATAATATTACTTTAGTTGTTGACACCACTGATATTACAGTCTGGCTCCGTCCCTGTCTCCCATGGTCCTAATGTATTTGTCATTTTGAAAAGTGCACACCTTGATTTGTATTATGACATGAAATTTCTATCTCTATGAAAGTTTAACATTAAATTCTTATTATATCCCTTTCCAGGTCTTATAGCATTTAATAAGAAAAAGTCCATCTGGGCAAATCTGGGAGATAAATACAAAATGTGCATTAAACGTTTAAAACATCAATTGTTTTAGCAGGTTTTTTGGCTTATACAACAAAATAATTTAGGACAGAAGTAAAAATTAGTATAAATAGGAGTTTTTCATTTCGAATTTGGGACATTAGTATAAATAAACAACTCACATAATGGCATCTCCTTTAGTTGATAGTTATTGTTTGGTAGCATTGATTTTTCTTTAGTTTGTGTCTGCATCTGTCAGTTTTTTCTGGGGATGCATTTTGTAGTTTATAAGTCCATATTTTTTCTTCAAATTAAAATGTTGAAGCAAGACCCTGAGTCTGTAGTACCTGGATCTCTGTGACTCTGTTATTCTTGACTTGCTATATTTTCTGCACTTCAACGGCAGAGATTAATATTACGTCAAATGGTATTAGATGTAAGCACCATCAAAGATGGGAAATTGCAAACTGTAAATTTTAGAATACCATAATTGAGTTCATGATGCCTCTAAGATGTAGAGTAGAGCTTTTGCTATGATAGAAGCATAGTTGTTCTCATGTAGTCCATGCTATGGTGGCAGTGCTTAATGCATTATTGCGTTTTACCAATATCATGTTTGGTTTCTTGTTATATGATATGGATATGCTTAAATATCTCTGTCTGCATAGATTTTCAACAAATGCCTATCTGTTCCATTTTGTTTTGGACCATTTGTTAGGCATGTGGTATTAGAGCTGTTTCCTTCATTGGATTTGATGGCCACAACTATATAAGAGGAAGATGCAAAAGTTCATTCAAGCCGTCAGAAGTTTTTTTGCATCACGGTAGGAAGTTCCACCAAGCTGCTAGAAGTAGCAGGGCTTGTTAGCTCTCTCATGGTTTTTGCATTGGGATTTAGTAACGGTTAGCTGTCACAAAACGTCACGATATTGAAGAGAGGCTCTCGGGATTTGGTACTTCTAGCGCTATTTAATGAGAGTTCAAACAGCGCTATTTTCAAACTGTACCATCATCGACTTATGACTTCGTTGATGTAATCATCTCCTGTAAAAAACTCTGCCTTGATTCTTCTTATCATGGTTGGTGTAAACTATAAAGTATGACATAATGTCTCCTTGTCCTTGGGTCTCGTTGTCGCCATTTTCTTCTTATCGTTGCCGAATATAATTGTTTTGATGATTTCGCAGGATATGAAAGATTGATGATTCTGTCATGAGTAATAAATTTTGACAATGATTCATCAAGATAAAATCACAAGCCGTGGAGAGTATTCTACATGAAGGGCAAATTTAAACGTGTATTTAGAAACAACATTACTTCACTGAGGGGTTCCCTATATTTCAAAACAGTTTTATTACTTTTTTCTTCATGTCCAGCGATAGAAGTCGTTATTAATATGTACGTAGTAATAGGCAATTTCAAATAATTCCAATGAAAATAGATTAGATGCAGAATCATGTAGCCGCATTTTATCTTTCGAGAATAGACCACTAATTCATCTACAGTTTTAGGATGACTACAGATTTAGGGTGTTACACTTATTCCATAAAGGAGGCGTTTGGTTCTTTGCACATTAAAATTTCACACGTAAACTGATTGCAAGTAAACTGTAGGGCTGCAATCTTTTTGCACGTAAAGTATAATACATTGTTTGGTATGGTATGCGATCTATTTTTAAAATACATGCAAAATAAAATGCATTGTTTGGGAAAAACAAACTAACGTACATGAACCTTGTAAACTTACCGTCATATCATTACAAATTAATTAGTACTTCAGTATTTGGAAAACATAAGGCTTCCGAACACTCACAAATGTATAATTTCAGGAATCAATTTTCAATGATGTTCTGCAATTACTTTCACACTCCGTATTTGTTAACAATTATCATCAACTCTTTATCATCAACAATGATGTGTGCTACTGCATTTCATGTCTTTATTTTACTTATCTAGAGATTTGCTAAACTATAATTTATTCTATTTAAACATATCAAATGACAAGTTTCACAACTCTTTTTAGGTCTATTTTATGTTATTTTTAGATGAAAACTCTATTTTTTACGTCTATTTTATGTTATTGTTAGACAAATTACAGGTTTGGTCCCTCAGTTAGTATCCAAATTGAAATATGATTCCCATGTATTTCATTTAAGAAATTGCTCAAAATAGGAGTAAATGAGGTTTGAAATTCAAAAATAGGACTACTATGTTAATCTTTCCGAAATAGGAGTCGCAACTGTCATGATTGAAAAATAACTGCCATTTATTATGATAAATATTGTCATGTTGAATACATAGTACTGCAATTATTTGGCAGCCTAGCTACAAGATGACAATAAATACTGCTATGTTAGTCCTATTTCAGGAAGAAAAACATAGGAGTCCTATTTTGGAATTCCAAACTTCGTTTACTCATATTTTTGGAAATCTCCCATTTTATTTTAGTAAATATGATCCCCCAATTGTCCAAATTTATAAAACAATCATCCTTGCCTTGTGTATTTTTATGGGCTATTAAGTGAACGAGAATGACATTTTGAAAAATTGAATAATTGGGGGATCAGATTTGCAAAAAAAAGGGGATGAGGCTTGAATGTGGTTAGTAATTATGGGAGTAAAAGTGCGATTTTTCTTATTTTTAAGCTGCATGCATGAGGGGTTTAATTAGATACAAATCACCTTTTAGTTTGATTCTTGTGTGCATAGTTCGGGATTAGGGTTATCCCGGTCTCAAACCAATGACCGAAAACGGTTCGGGGTGACACATGACAATTCTTTGTTCTAATCTTATCACATTTAAATCGGGAATGTAAAAATTCTAGATAGCTCACGAAGTTGTGATGCAACAAAAGTAAATAAGAACAAAATAATCTTAAATTCTAAGTAAAGTATATAGCAACTCTAGTGTATATATGCACCAAAAATATACTTTTTATGTTACCTAGTTAAAGTCTCAGTTTGACTTTTGAGTCAAATTATTAAAACTTTGACCATTAACTACTTAAAATTAACAATAATTTATCAAATAAACTTAGTTTTAGGTGCTTCATTTAATATGTATTATTGAAATGTTAATTTATTTGTAGATTGTGTGGGTATATATTTATAGATAATTATAGTCAAACTTCTATCTACAAGACCGTAAAGTCAAACTAGGATTTTAATTGTGGGAGGCAAGAGTAACATATTTATATTCTGTAAATTTTAATAACAAGCTTTCTATATAAAAAAGAGAGAGAATTTCCCAAACCGGATTAAAACATAGTAGATGTGAATAAATAAGTTTATTATTCCCTAAATAACACTCTTTATTACCGATTAGACAAAATTGCCCCTAATGAAAAAAAACCTGCATCTGCATTGATGCACCTCCTCTGATCGATGCACCTCCTATGCTGACACCACCCATGCCTTTTTTGTTAGGCACCACCGCCAAGCCACTGCCGCTACTGCCCAGTGAGAACGCAACCGCCACCGCCCAGCTAGGACTTCGCCGCCACCTCCAGCAAGACCGTTGCTGCGCTAAATTCTCTCCTGGAGGTGTCAACATCTTCTCTCCTCCTTCCCCTTCTCCTTCGATCTCCTCCTTCTCCTCATCCTCCTCCTCCTTGTGATCTTCTTCTTTTTCTTCTTATCATCCTCTTTAATTTTCTATGTTATCTTGGTCTTTGGATTTCAATTTTATTTATTAAGTAGGAATCTGAGAATGTCATAAAATTATCAGTAATTCAAAGATTGTCACTTCTATGACATTACATCTATCAAGATGACAATTTTACTTTGAAATTAGGGAAAAATTAGGGTGAAAAAAAAAACATAATTACTGCGCATATAAATGTAAGTTATGCACATTTTTATTCAATTAATACAGTGTGTATGTAATCCTAATTCTTGTAATTTCAGCCAGGGCAAAGGGGTGTTAATGTCTTTACGCAATCAACTTCTGCTCCATCAAATTCTCATCCATCACAAATATGATCGATCAGTAGATGAGGGGGTGCATGCTTTTTGCTATATGAAGACCAGTTTTCTATATAGGCCAATGTTGGGTCTTTTTGTGCAAACTAGTCTTAGGTATTTCTTTTGCGTAGGCTGGTGTGGCGTTTTTTGTGGTGCAGACCAGTTTTTTGTACTTGTAAATGTCTTTTTTTGGGCAGCCTGCTATGTAAGATCCATGCATTGGTTTGTATTTTGCTTATTAGTTTTTGTTCAAACCACTATAGAAAGGCCATGATGTGATTGTTATTTTGTTGTTTAAACACAAACACTCAATCAAAGATATCATGTGTTGATTTGTGTTCATTGTTTCCTGGTTTTATAGTATGTAGTTACTGGTTTTGGGGTGGTTACTGAAAATTTAAATACTTGGGGCCTGATTTTGCAGACATGTACTGTCAAGGTTTGTATAAAAGCATTAGAAAATCAGAATGCGACAATTTCAAAATAGAAAAACCAGCAGCATTGTTTTACTAGCCACTAAAGTTACAAATCTTCAGTTACACATGGCAGCAAATGACACAAATAACTAACATATACTCGTATATGATATTGTATATTACTACTCAGTAACATTTTACTTATAATAAATGAACACTGATACAAAACCAAGAACAACAAATCTAGCTATTACATTTTCAATCATTTTCTTTGATATATGACTAATTTTCATCTTCTCGAAATCAGATTGCAGCACCATCAGATCACTTTTAACTGCATACTTGTAATCGTTCATGGCTTCCTGTGAGTTGTGAGATGGGGTTCCAAATTTCCAATCGAATGAAGTTTGTGTGGGTAGATTGAGAGAGAGAAGTTTTCAATGTAAGCTGACGTGGAATATTTGCCAACTTGCAATTCAAAAATAAATTCAAAAACCTTAAGAACTTAAGAAGGGATACGGGTATCACAAATTCAAATATCACAAATTCAAATAGTGGGAGGTGCATTCTTTAACAAGATAAGTATAGGGTGGGGAGTTCACATTTGAGGAAAGTTCAAGTATTTTGTTTATTTTTCCCTTGAAATTATAAAACTTTAGAATGCCATTTTTTTGCCTGTTTGGCAAAACAATGTCAGTTTTTGTGTTATTAACTTTATAAAGACGACATTTTCTTACTGAATTTTCAATTTTCTTTTTATTCCCATATTTTGAATTTTTTAGTTACATTTCTTTTATTTTTATTAAAAACGTGGCATTTTATCTGTAAAAACATGTCATGTTCAGTTTAAACATAGCATTTTCGTATGAAATTATAAAATGACATCTTATGTCATTTTCAGTACATCTTCACAAAGCGAGTTGCATAAAAATGACACTATTTTGTCAAACAGGCCAAAAACATTGCATTCCACATATTTAATTTCAAAGTAATTTTATCATTTTGATAGATGCAATAATGTATAAAAGTGACATTTTTTCAATTTACTGTTCAAATAATACCAAATAGTTTTGGGATTTTTTTTTAAAAAAAATAGGAACAAAACAGAACAAGATCAGTAAGGGAAGAAAAGATAAGAGAAGAGGAGAGCAGATGGAGAATTACCTGAATGTCGTCGCCGGAATAGAGCAGGCGAGCGGCCTGGTCATCTTCATCGCAGATGGCTGTTGGTCTGTATCTGTTGGAGCGGATAGCTATTTTGGGGTTTTATTAATTGAATTCGTAAAAAAGTAATTAGGAATTGAGAAAATTGGGTATAAGTACATAATTAAATATATGCGTTTAACTTAATATTATGGATTAGTAAAAATTAAGTAGATAGTCTTTAATTTATTAAACTCCACCGGTGCACGTTTTCTATTACGGAGTATAACCTTAGTTAGTTTCCTCCTTCGCAACTTCCCCCTAGTTATGCACTTGTAGTTCACATCCAAGTGTAGAAACGGCCATCCATATCCGATCCTCCAAGGTTTTTGTGAATCAAATTAAGTGGATCAGGCTCCACTAGGGAGTTTAACCTTGTTCAAGTGAGAATTTCTTAGCGACAGATGTACTCAAAATATACTCCGTATTACTTATTGTTCAGAACCAACAACATATTGTTCGGTGAAAAAGTATTAGAACATAATAAATATCAAATTCCACATGGTTGTGTTTGACATATGATATGTAGCAGTCCATGGATGCAACAACGGGTATGAGACTGCCTTTTGGCGGCTTTT